AGGTGCAGCGAGAGAGCTCGCTGGCGGCGCCCGTCCTCCCGGCACAGCCGCGGCCAGGGGCCTGTGGCGGTTAAGGGGTCTCTGTATAGTCTGCTTCCAGTCTTGTGCATTTTCTCTGGAGTGTTGTTTTTGCAGTGCAGGGTGAGTCGGTGTGGGTGTTTGAATGCTGCCGTTTGCTGTTTTTTAAAGGCCTACTAGCCCTCCCATGGGGTTACTGCAGCAGGAATTCTTACCTGTGCTTCAGCCCAGCATACAGACTGCTGACAGGTACCAAGTGGAAAACACCTGCTCATAGTGTGCTGTTTTGTCCACATGTTTTACTGCCCATGGTTTTCAGCTCTTTGTTCCTCAGTGCTCTTTTTCATGCTTTCTTTATTTTCTAATTTGTTCTGCATTCCTTGGCAAAACCATCTGGTTGTAATATTGTAACATTTCTTATTTTTTTTCCATAAATTGCCAGTGTTTTTGTGTTCGATTTAAAAATCATTATGGATCTGGAAAAAAATGAAAGTTATATAAAACTGTGTCAGATGAAGTGCACATTAGGCACTGAGCTCTCTCTTTTGAGAAAACATAAGGCACTCAGTTATGAACATTGAAGAATAGTGAAACTTAAGTAAATATTTACTCTTAAATTTTTATGAGTGACCAGTGTTAAGATTTGGCCTCAACAGGCATTAGCACAGTATTTGCCTGTCACTGACACTTTTTTCAGACCTTCCCCTCCTGAATTGAAAATATTTCGTAGGCTAGACTGTTGCATATATTAGCTCATTTAAACCACAAGGGGTCATTCTCTCCTTCATCCAAATTTACCAGAGGGATAGAGGCTCTGATAGAAATATAACTGAGCTGTGCTGCTATTTATATATAGAAATAGTGACACTGAACCATGATCAGCAGGATACAGTTCATTACATTTTTACGAGTATTAAGAGAGTTTGCTCGGAACCATCAATGCCCTTTACTATCTGCAAATACCAGTCACTTTCGGGTGCGCAGGGACTTGGGTCCCATTTGGGAGTCAGTCTGGCTGCCAGAAATGCGGTGTCTCAGGACGGCCTAAAAAGGTCTGTCTGTTCCCCATGGGGCCCGTGGCCTCGGCCTCACTGACACTCTGCTGATGACCAAGCGAACCAGCCAGACTTGACGAGAAATGGCCCCAAAGAGCTGTTTTCTCCACGGCACTGCCGTCTTAGTACGTAGTCCGTGGGCATTGCAGAGTCCGGGCAGGTCTCTGCTGGTCTAGCAAAGCTGGGGTGTTTTTTCTTCTGTTGCACTGCAACTTCATGGCTTTGTTGTACTTACATGATAATACAAGTTTTAAAAAACAAACATTGTAGAGTGGTTTCAACAGCTTTAGTTTGGCCAATACATAAACATCTCATTTGAAATCCCTCTTGCTGTGTCTGAGGAAGTGAGGCAGTAGGGGTGGGGAATGGAGGTGCTTCTCTGTCTGACTCCACCACATTCCTGAACGGGTGGTAAAACTCCCCTCCTTTTAGTTGCACCCATAGGATTTTGCTAGAGTTGCCTTTTCCTTTCTTCACTCTGGTGTCTTCAGTTTTCTGGGCTGCCCTCCTAGAGCACCGGTCGAGTATAGTTGGAGACCTTGCTTGTGTCCCCACCAACCCTTCCACCAGCCTGCAGGTCTCCTGAACACGCGGGCCAGGTCTGCTCTTCAGGTTGCTGGCCACTGCCTGTCACTCAGTAACTGCTTCTCTCTCCCCACCTGGGCCAGACTCGGGTCTTGCGAGCCCCAGCTCCTCCTGCTTCTCAGGCAGACCTGAGTCTGGCTGGGCCCAGCACTCGAGCTGCTGTCCTGCTCTGGCAGCATGGGGACAGAGATGGGCTCGGAACCGGGTTGCTGTGCACAATCTCTGAGCTTCATGGAGCACCAGCCCAAGGACCCAGGTGCCTAAGCCCAGTCCGGTGTTGGTGACTCACTTTTTGGTTCCCCTCCTCCCTGCTGCCTCTGCAGCTGTATGGCCCACAGGCCCAGAGTAACTGAATTGTAATGTCAAAGCTACAGGAGTTCACAAGCCAAGCAGGTGACATTTTACTGAACATTTAGATCTTTAAAATATTCTTTCATTGAGTGGGAAAGATGTCTCTTGTTTTCAGTCTTTCTGGGAAGGAATGGGCAAAGGGGGTGGTTTGTTAGGGCTTTGCTTTTTAAATTTTTCACTAATACTTAGATTTGAGGTAGGCTTTATTCCTACCCCAGACACACTGAGCTGTGACATGTATGCTAACCACGGTGTCCCTCTGTTTCCCTGTCACTGCCCTCAGGCACCACACGGTCACTCGGGGCATCACCAAGGGAGTGAAGGAAGACTTCCGCCTGGCCATGGAGCGCCAGGTGTCCCGCTGTGGCGAGAACTTGATGGCGGTGCTGCACAGGTTCTGCATCAACGAGAAGATCTTGCTCCTGCAGACTCTGGCCTGACCAGAGCCCTTGGCGCCGGAGCGCTCAGCCGTGGGAGTTTGGGGAGGGCACGAAACATCCATGAATGTTACTTTGCACCTCTTAACAAGAAGAAAAGCGTCTAACTCCGTAAAAATAGTTTCCAAGAGCCTGAGAAGCTATTTCTATTTTTTAAGTCAATTTTTTGTAGTTTTTGTAAAACAAAGAATCAACCTGTTTTGTAAATAAAAGTCATCCTAAATTTGGACGTTTTTAAAAATTTAATTCTTATGAGTTTCTGAGCAAAGGTGTACTTCACTTTAAAAGACATTATTCCTTCCATGACCTCAGGATCTGATTTTCCGTAAGTTAAGCTTTGGTTAAATATTATATATCAACACAATACTAGGCTTTTTCATTCTGGAAATTTTAATACCAAAAACCTTTATGCCAGAATGGACTAGAGTGAATTTCTGCGGAAGGAGCCAGGCAGGTGGGCGGGGGTGGGGTGTCTGCCAACTGCCCAAGGGAGGGAGTGGCGGTGGGGGAAGGCATCTCCTGCCTTCAGCTGTGGGGTGTGTGGGGCCACACCACTGGGCCCCTGGTCCTCTGGGCGGCCCCTTCACTCACCATGTACCATGGACAGTTTCTCCGTTTCAAGTTTGTTGTCTGAAAAAGATAAAGGCCCTCCCCTCACGGGTGGTCCTTGTGAAGACTGAATGTGACCTCATGTGAAACACTTAGAAGCGTGAACCTACACATTGTGATTGCTTGACCAGCTATGGGGTCTCCTTTTTCCCTTCTGCTCTTCTAGAAATATATTGGTAAACAGCAAACAAACATTTGTTTCTAGCAGCCCTTTAAGAATGAGAGAGCTGCCCTGGCTGGTGTGGCTCAGTGGACTGAGCCCCACCCAGCCTGCGAACCAAAGGATCACTGGTTATATTCCCAGTACAGGCCACGTGCCTGGGTTGCAGGCCAGGTTCCCAGTAGGGGGTGTGCGAGATGCAGCCACACCCTGATGTTTCTCTCCCTCCCTTCCTATCTAAAAATAAAAAAAATAAAAGAGCTAAGTTACTCAGTTACTTTGCATAAAACATTTTAGAAGCCTTTTCTATATAAGGCCCTTCTTATAGATATATTAAAATCAATGACATGGTTTAAGTAGTAAACACCTGCTCTCGAAAATGTTCCTCCAGCTCATTTTAGAGAGTTTATTGGTGTAATATGATTATAAACACATAAACCATCGTGTTTTTACCACAGAGTGTGTTGTCCCCCAACAACTTTCAAATTAAACCCTCTTACCTTTTGGTTTTATAACACCTTCGTTTGGTGTCTGGAGGCAACACATCAAAACAAAACATTCTGATACCCAAATGGCTGGGCAGCAGGTAAAGAGTCATCTTTTATTGTTCAGTGGTGCCACTCCTGCGTGCCAAACCGCAGGGGAGGTAACCGGGTGTGGAGCCAAAAAGACAGAATAACGAAGAGCTGGCCACGGAAGGGGAGAAAACCAGAAAAATAGCCTCTCTGCAAAGAAAGTCCCAGGAGTCAGGAAAGAGTCCACAGAACCCAAAACGGTAACAGACGCCGTGGGGGCGGTGCGCTCCGGGGCGCAGGGAGTGAGGCCGGCCGCCCTCGCGGGCGGTTTTTGGGGTGGCATTCTGCGGTGGGGCCAGCGGGATGACGGCTCCTTTTGTCTATCGCGGTGATTTGACAGACACCATTGGATAAGGGTTTTGTGACATCTGAGGCATTTTGTAACATGATGCAAATATGTAGCATTTCTATCAACACTGAATTTGGAAATGCAGGAAGCCTGAAGAGAAACAGTGTTTTGGAACTAATGGCCAACAAAAACCGATTATCACAAGAAAAATGTGGGCTAGCTACCCTGGTGAAAAATTAGATTGTACGAACATACAACCAAAGACGAACACCGGCTATGGGATTTCCCGCCTAATTCCACACCCCGCGCCCTCCCACAGGAGGGAATCGCGGTCCCCTGCCTAGCCACAGACTTGGCCTAAGCCAGATGCTTTGTCACTCAGCTTTTTCAGTCCTGTGTCGTTGCGCACTGGTAGCCGACGAGAAAGGGGGACGGCTGCCAAGAGGCTTCGGGGGAGGGTGGCCAGCTGGTAAAATGAAAAGGCACAAGGGGACGCCCTCTCCGTCCCGCGAGCGTCTCGCGGCCGAGCGTCCCAGGGGTAGTCCTTCCACAGCCACCAGGGAGCTGGCTGAGCCGAGCGGGTGCGCGGCAGCCAGCCCACTCAGGGCCCCGGGGGGCGAATTCCCCTTCTAGCCCGGCCGTGCCAGGACTCCCTGTGGTTCAGGACACCCTGACGGACATACTCCCCAATTTAAGAAACGCTTCTGGACACCTCATCGGGAGAAGCCCAGCTCCGCCTTACGTGCTGAGATCTGGATGACTGCCGTGACCACCCGTGACTCACTGCAAGAGAAGGGTAGCAGCAGGTTTCCTCAAAGACGACTGTCCCCCCACCTTAGCTCCATGTTCACTGTCCCGGGGCACGCCAGACACTAATTTTACCAGCACTTAAATATTAAAACCAAAGACAGCCACCATCGCTTTGCTTTAATAAATGTTTATTTAGTGCCTGCTGTGTACAAGGCAGTGTCTGTGCCATGAATACGCAGAACAAGGCATAATTCTTGCTCTTAGCAAGCTCAGAGTCTAGCATGGGGAACTAGACATGTACACAAATAACTATTGTAAAGTGATAGGGGCCATGAAATTGATTCCAAAAAGGTAGTATGCGGAGCCAGTGGAAGGATATATTACCTTTGGATGAGAGTAAGAGATTACAGAGGTGCCTTAGAAGTAGAGGGTCTAAAAGTGACAGGTCAAACATACAAAGGAGAAAAATGAAGAGGACAAAGTAATGCAGGAAAAAATAAGGCTATAATCAAAGTCAGAAGCAAGAGGCTAAGTGATGGGGTCGGGAGGGGCCTCGTGGGGCTGGAATAAGTAGGGTGGGGACAGGGGATGGGAAGGAAGCTGGGGAGACAAGTTGGGCTCAGCTGAGGATGGTCACGTATACCTGGCAAAGCTGTATCGCCTTTAGTGTGAGCTTTTATAAAGCGGTGATGTGCTCTGAACTCTGCTTCATAAAGCTTAGTCTTGTGACGATGGAGAGTGACTACAGAAGGAGGGATTGAGGGAAGGAGGCCACTCTGAAAAGAATCACAAGAGACTGGACTAGAGTACTAAGGAGTGCGACCAGGAGAAGGAAGAAGCCAGCAGGGGAAGATGGAAACAGAATCGAGACTTGGCAATGACTAAACAAGGGAAAAGTGCGAATAATGGAGGGCAGTGGGTGAAAGGTGGAGGCAGTTTTATACCTGGAGGCGGGAAGGATCCATTCCCAGAGCCAGGAAAATCCAAGGAGGAGGAGGTTTGAATTTGGGGAAAATCGGGGAGGGACGCAAGCCTCGATGCTGGCGGATGTCCAGGCGAGGGGCGCGCGGGCAGTTACAAGCTGGGTGAGAGTTCAGGGCAGAGGCCTGAGCTGCAACTCAGGCCGGGAAGTCGTCCGTGCAGCGGTGACAGTTGAAGCAACGTCGAGACGGCCCCGTCTCATCACAGAAGGATGCTCTGAAGCACAAGCTATTGTCACATTTTCCTTAAATAGGGAATTCTCACAGAAAATTCACAAGTATGATGATGCATCATATGAAAAGTGCTGTTTCTCTTTGGGTATCCTCCCTTCCTCACTCCCGAGAAACTACTTCTTCAGGTTTGTGCTTCCAAGCAGGAAAGGCGTCTCCACTGTGGAGGGTCGTTCTGAAAAGGCTTACTCCAACAAGAGTTTTTTAACTTTTTATATCACTCATCTTAAAGAGTTTTCTGTAATAAAATGATTTCCCTAAGGATTTTGGAAAGGCTATTGATGTAGCCCACCTCACCGAGTCTTAAGGGTTGGTAGGGACCTGAGAGGTTATCGCCATCGCTCTCACTTCACAGATGAGGAAGCTGAGAGTCAGACAGGCCCAGACTTCCTGGCATCTTATACGGCAAGGATGGCAAAGCTGGAGCCACATGCCAGACAGTGTGCTTTTCTCTTCCAGGGCCATGGCTCTGGGAACCACCCACCATCTGGATACACAGAGAGACAGGCGGGTAGGTAAGGTGGGTAGATAGACAGATCAGTGACTGATAAGACGGGTAAACACGGAGGTACATAAGTAGATAACTAAGCAAGGGTGGCTGGGAATAACACATTTACATTTTAACTTTTTTTTTTTTCAAGTAGAAGAAGAAAGTAGCTTCTGACAGAAACGCATTTTTTTTGGACCCACCAATGTCTTGCAGACCGGAAAGGTAAATTACCCTGACTTTCTTGAAATAGTAAACTTCAGTTAACGAAAAAATATTAGACTATATTATCACACCTCACATTTCAGCTAGCTTTACAGTCAGCCAAAACAGAGACGACGGTATTCGCGGCTGATGCAGGAAGGCAGTGTGCAGGGAAACGAGATCAGTGAGAATCAGACATGAGTCAGATTGTTCTATCCGTCACAGAGGCAAATGCCCACGGTGATTCCCTTTTGGAAAGTTATCTTGAGAAATCCTTACGTTAGAGTTCTAAATCCACCCACTTACACAGAAGATGGATAAAAAAGACAATTACCGTCCGACATGTAAGTCTCAAACACGCAGGCAGAGTTCCGATGAGCCACGTCATAGTCCTGCGCACAGCAGCGTCTTCCCCAATAACCTGGAGACACTCACCCCACTGACTTCGTAATTAATGATTCCCTTTAATACAGGCTGTGCCAACACTCCCCCAGGCCCACCAGAGTCTGCCAGGAACACACTTCGGCTGCAGCGATCAGATTTTCCAAAAAACCTTCTTTTTATAGAGAGCGTAAGCAATGAGCACCCAGAGAGCGGTGGCGACGATGTTCTGAATGAGATGCTCTTTGTGTGACTGGTTGTCCTGCAGCCTCCACTGGAAGGGGAAGTAGTTCCTGAACACCTCATGGCCAACGTACACCAGAATAGAGTTCATTCCTGAAGGAGGGACACAGACAATCGTGTCTTGCTAAGTCAGCTCTGCTGGCCTCCTGAGTTCCTGAAATTTGACTTTAGTGCAGTGGAAAACTGAAAGCACGCACTTCTAGAGCCAACAATAAGTGACGCCTATCCTAGATACTCAAGTGTAAACTACATCAAAAATTATTAGAAAATACTCATTTTATGACAGTGTAATTATCGAATGCTAAATCTGAAAGGAAAGCCAAAATTATTAACTTTTTATTTCATTAATAAAAGTTTATTAATAAATACACTTTCTATTTACTCATTATTATTTTCTCACAGAAAGCTTGCGGTCCAAAGACAGTAACTATTACCGGAATCAGAGGGCTGAAATGAGTCGTTGAAGTTATCTAGTCTGCCCTGAGTCTGCAGGCAGAACTGCGTTTGAACTATTCTGTTTATCTCTTGATATCGACTCTTGTTATTCCTTATGTAAGTATGCCCCGTTCCTGAAACATCAGAAACTGGATGATGTGCCCCGAGTCACTGCCTGAGGAACACCAAATATCAGTGTAAGGGGGTAAAACAGCTGGGCTATTTCGGAACAGGCCAGCACCGCACTTCACGGCCTGGGGCTGCGTGACCCCTGCTGCTTTCTCCCTCAGCCCGCGTGGTGGAGAACATGCCACCAGGGCTGTGGCTCGAGGCCCTGGCACTGGGCATGCCCAGCTGGTCTCTCTGGGCCAGTCCAGTTGGTCACTACTGTCAGCTTTGTTTGGGGTGGCTTACCTGGGTAAAAGAACGGGGTTCCCGTCCACACTCCCGTCACATCCACAATGGGATAGAGGATGAGCAGGATGAAGAAGGCAAAGGAGCTCAGCGTGGTGACGTACGAGATGGACCTAGGAGGGGGGGGACAAGCTGTTTCAGGCCCCGAGGGTGCATCCAACGTGAGCACGCGCAATCACGAACGTTGAAATGACACTGTTTTCTATACGTACCAAAGATTTTTGTTTACTGGAATAAAGCCTTCATTTTCAGAAATTTTCGTCAAAGCAAGAGAGATAAGCCCCTATCACGGGGGAGAAGGATGTTAAAAGTTTTTATATTATCTCAAAAAAAAATATGTTTTAAAATGAAAAATAGTAGTTATTTAATTGTCAGGGAGCTGAGAATTGTGTCATGTTCGTTTAGCTGGAAAAGCATTTTTTAAGATGCGTAACTAAAAAATTTTCTAGAAGTATTTTTTCAGCATTTCTCTGAGTTGAAGGAAAGCTAAGTGATCAATGAGAGTGAAGCGTGGTGGGGAAACATAACTGCAAGGTCAGGCGTAAAATGAGCAGTCGGCCTTGCAGCTCCTCTCTCCCCTGTCAATCTGGAAGCTGATGTTTGGCAGCCTGTTCTCATTTGCCTGGTCTTTCTGGTGTGGCTCCCCACCAAGACCCAAACCTCAGATCCATGTCTCCACACATCCCTGGCTGACGGATGGCAAACGCTGACTTATTTATAACATTTTCCGTAAAAAACGAACCTCAGAATTTAGGTGTGAAGATTTGTTCCTCTCTGTTATTCAAGTGAAGAATGCTACCTATGGTCACCGCTGATATACCAGTGTTGCTAAATACTTTTTTCTTTAAAATGTGTATGTATGAAGAAAAGGAATTTTACGGGGTAATGTCGGTTACTCACTAGAAAACACCACCAGGCAGTGAATCTGATCAGAATGTCTTTGGTCTGCTCTTTGTAATACAAGAGGATTTTTCCTGCCTGGAAAAGAAAACACAGTGCAACCAAGAGAATCACCTAAGGTACTTTCTCATTTCGTATCCATCCATGATCTTAGTCACTCACGGGACTCATCTGCCAGGCACCCCGCTGGGCACTGAGATTACAACGAGGAAAGTCATGTTATTCCCACCCTGGACTAGTGGAGACTGGGAGGCATGTGGGCCCCCCTGGGGGGAGAAAGGCGTTAGAAAGGAAGTGCCACAGAGTTGAGGACAGGAACGCGAAGCAGGAAGAGCGTTCAGACCAACTGGAAGAGCATGGCCAGAGGCGGGAGAAAAAGCCCAGCATCCTCAGATGCTGCGGCCGATTCAGAAAGGCTGCAGGGCGCGGAGGGCGAGAAGGCGGCAGGGAGGGCAGCTTCTCAGTTTCACTGAGAGGCACTGGCTTCCTCCCAGAGGCGATAGGGAGCCAAGGAAAGTCACTTATTTCCCCCCAAAACTTACAAGTACTTCCAATTACATCAAAGGGAGCAGCTCAGACTGGCCTGCCGATGGTCCAGTCTGGCAATGGTATAAATCAGGGACAGCAATAGGGGCAGGGTGGAGCTGGAGGCAGGGAAACATTTTAAAAACAGTACCATCTGAACTCTGCATAAGAATCCTCCCAAATTAGGAATTAATGTCTCAAAACATCAGACTACAAGTGTTAATAATTTATAGTAATAGCTGAATTTATGTTTTCTATGTGCCAGTGCTTAGAACTTCTCATGAATTAAGTTATCTTATCCTCTCAACACCTCTATGGAGTAGGTGCTACTGCAGCACAGAGTGGTCAAGCCCCAGGCCCAGGGCCACCCAGCTAACAAGGGACAGAGCTGGGTCCAAGCCCAGGCAGAGCTCACCACGTCTGCACTCGGAGCCACTATCCGAGGCAGCTCCCGGGGCCCAGACCCTCCTGGAGTGCATATGCAGCGATTAAACCCAGCGTAACGTGCACTATGAAGTGCTACAGAGATAAAGGCAGTGTTCCTAAATACGAAATGATTTAACCACCAAAGTGTACATGCTTTAGACCAGCATGATCCAACACAGGAGCTGCTAGCCACACGTGCCTACTTCAAATTAAACTTAAATAAAATTTTAAATTCAGCACCCCGGGCACACCAGCCACAGCCAAGTGTTCAGTCGCACCAGAGGGCACAGATGTAGAGTGTTTTCATCGTCACAGGGGAGAACTACTTTGCACATTTTCCCCTCCCAGTTAGTGCCCCTCAAGTAACAATTTCAAATACCAATAAAGAGAACTTTCGGAAGAAAAATCTAGACTGCTCAGAATTTTAACACGTGAGATCAACTAAGAATAGCCTGTATTGACTTTGTCATAAAGTATGCACAACTGGAGCCCGGGCTAGTGCGGCTCAGTGGGTTGGGTGTCATCCCGCAAACCAAAAGGTCACCTGTTCACTTCCCCTTCAGGGCACGTGCCTGGATTGAGGATCAGGTCTTGCACATGGATGTTTCTCTCCCTCTTTCTCCCTCCCTTCCCCTCTCTCTAAAAATAAATAAATAAATAAAATTTAAAATGTTTTTAAAAAACACACATCTTGAAACCACGTAAGTGTACACAAAAGAAATGTGACAGGAACCCTGGCCCGGTGACTCGGTTGGTTAGAGCGTCGTCCCGATGCACCAAGGTTGCGGGTTCAATTCCTGGCCAGGACACATACAAGAAGCAACCAATAAAAGCATGAATAAGTGGGACAATGAACTGATGTTTCTCTCTTTCACTCTCTCTCTCTCAAATCAAATAAAAATGGAAAAAAAAAAAGAAAGAAAGAAAACAGAGCTGTGACACAGGACCTCCCAGCATCACCAGTACCCAACCATGTGCAGTCCAGCAGAGAACCTTTTACCCAGAAACCGCTGTGCCCATTTCCAAGATAGGCCATAGGAAAATAAGAATTTATTTTCAGAATATAGAAATTACACCTAACATTTGAATGTGCTGAATTTTAGCAACTTTTAGTTTTGACAATCTGTTGAATGTAAACAGAATTTACTAGACCTGTAATACACAGAAGGTAATACGCTTCCAATTACTTTAATGAAATAGTTTTTGAATTAGTAATCAGTAATCACAACCTGTCAGAAAGAGTCTCCTCATGAAATGAACAAATACCTGAACTCCTAAAAATGCCATCACAATGGAGTTGATGGTCCCTAGGATTCCTTCCGGGTCGTAGGCCACCCTGGTGTGATAAACCACCTGAACAAAAGAGGAGAAGGCAGCACTCATTGACCATGAAAACGCACACACACGACCCGCAGACTGACTACAAACTTCAGTACGCTGCAATATTTAGCGTGCTTTGTTTCTACTGCGCAGATTCATTGTCAACACGTGGGGCTTATAAGCAGAATACTTCTGGCCAAGAAAGTGTGCGCGGTGCAACACTTCAGAAGGGGACGCAGAGGCCAAGGATGAGCCACGGTCCAGCGCTGCCACTTCGCCTTCAGGCGGCTCGGCAACACAACACACTCCTAGCCAGTTTCAAGCACCAGGTATGATACCCTCACAGTTTTCAAGTTCATTCTCTGTGGTCAACCCTGTTGTAACATCAACAGCTTCCTATCTTCCTTCAAGGCAAATAACATTTAATACATCTGTGCCTTTTTATTATAAAATAACAGTTATTGTAGAAACTGTAGAAATTTGGAAATAGTGTGGCGGATGCTCTAATGTACCACCCAGATATCCCCCTCCCCCACCCTTTTCAGGACTAAAACCTTCATTCCTCAGCTGCTTCAAGTATTAATGGCCAATAGCCCTCAGCCAAGACTCTCTTCTGGATTTGTCCTTGACTGAAGAGAGCTGCCTCTCTAGGAGTCACACCCCCTTGCTGGAGGCAGTCCCCAACCAGCCAGGGGTATAAGAGCTGGGTCCCTCCCCTCAGTTGAGAACCACTCTGAAAGGCCACCCCACCCACCCTGCCCACCAGAAGATCAGCTGCGGCCTTCGCGGGGCTGCGATGCAGTTCAGCTGCTCCCTCTGCCCTTCGTTCCCAGCAGGTGCTGGTCCCCAGAGGGGGCCTGCCTGGCAGACCTCCAGCACCCAAGGCTCCGGCCCAGAGTCCGCTCCCAGGAAATCCGACCTGACACACGGAGAAGCACCGTGCTCCACATTTGACACACGGTGCTCTCGCTTTAAGATCCAAAGTAATGCTTACATACTGCCCCACAAGGAACAATGAAGTCACTGAAGTCAGTCACTTTTTCAAATAAAGATTGGTTCCCATCAGTCTCTTAAATGGCACACTTGAAAGATGGCCAGTCCTGTCTCCTTCCCTCCCCTTCAGGGCTCCTACGTGCTCAGTTCTAAGTGCAAGCCCGTGTCGCTCACCGTGGAGGAAGGATGCTGATAGATGTGGTCCTCTCCCAGAAGCAGGCGGTCGATGTAGCCGGCAGCTCCTCCGGTACAATTTGGATACTTCCCCAGATCGCCAATGCCGCCGGGGCCCAGGTAGCCGCTGGCGAAGTGAGAACAAGTATTTAATAAACAAGATTCCAGAGGGGATAGGAGCACCTGCTGGCTGTGTAGGCAGCCCAACAAAGACCCTCAAATGCCTACAGACCTGGGAACCCCCCAGCGCCGGCACTCCCCCCACTGCTCTTTGACTCGACTGCCCCCTACCTCGTTAAGGCTCGGCAACTTCTATTCAAACTGACCCCGAATGAAACCTCACACGGACACTGCTCTGGACACACACCCAGTTCTCCTCCCGATAGAAAGCAGGCTTCGAAGGAGACGAAGGAGCGGCCAAGGGTTCCTTTGACTTGGGAAATTTGAAAGTAGAGCCTCCAAAATCCCACTTTGCAGAAAATGGCACGCGGAAAGGGATTACCTACGTGGGTGGGTTCACTTACGTGGGGCATCCAGGAACAGGTAAGAAGAAGGTCAAGGCCAGCCAGATGCTCTCCAGCATCAGGATGAAGAGCCACTGGGGCCAGCTGGAGGTGATGTCTTGAAGAGAAGAGCATCCTCCCTCCTGAGTGAGGGGCATAAAAAAACATATAAACTACATGCAAGTAGAATGGGAACTGATGCTCAGTACCTGTGATTGGAAAAGTCCCCGTGAGCCCTCTCTTGGCCTCCATTGTAGTAATACAAAAATACATGCATGTTTATTTCATTCGTATTATGTGACCTACATGTTCCCTCTCTACTAAAGACCACAATAAAAGAAACCCGTGGACAACTCCACTCTTATACCGAGGAGGACTGAAAACAGATGTTCACACAAAACTTGTACACAAATGTACATGTAATCATTAAACTGCATAATAGCCAAAAAGTGGAAACAAGTCAAATGCCCATCAATTGATGAATAGATATAAAATATGGTACATTTACAAAATGGAATGCTATTCACCAAGGAATCAAGTACTAACACCGGGCCCTACATGGATAAATTTTGAAAATTAGTATGCTAAGTAAAAGGAGCCAGACATAAAAGCCACACACTGTATAATTCCATTTATATGAAATGTCCCAAATCAGCAGATCTTATAGAGACAGAACGTAGACTGGCGTGGGCGAGGGGACTCGTGAGAGGAGAAAGTGGCTACTAGGGAGCGCAGGGCCTCTTTGGGGGTGGGGAGGATGTTCTAGAATGAGAGAGTGGTGATGAGTACACAACTCTGAGTAGCGTTAAATATCACTAGATTGTACACGTCAAACGTGAGTTTTATGGTATATGAACTATATCTCAATTAAGATGTTCTAAAAAAAGAAGTTAAAAAAGAAACGCTTTAAAAGAAAAATGAAATTTAAACTTTTGGAACTATTCTGGCTAAAGGAAAAAGGGTGCAATGCACCTATGCTGGGGACCCACCCAACCCCTGCTCCATCGTGGTGGCCATGGCAGGCCCTGGACGAGCCTCCACAGACCCTAGGCTCCCACGGGCGGCTCACCACGCCCAGGTTCACCTGCACACGTCTAGTCGCACTTCACAGTAACGGAATCTACGACAGAAGCTACAGGCAGACTGCAGGGAGGGCAGAGGAGGGAAAGGAGTGACGACTAAACACACTGCAAAGCATGTAACTGAGCACCAAGAGAATTTGGGATTTGATGAAGAACTTGTTAATGACATATACAGAAAGAAGCTAGAAAAAAGGTACAGCTTTATTAATTTACTGGTTTTTTAAATCATTTATTTTTAGAGAGAGGGGAAGGGAAGAAAGAGAGGGAAAGAAACATCAATTGTGGGGTTGCCTCTAGCGCACCCCCTACTGGGGATCTGGCCCACAGCCCAGGCATGTTTCCTAACCGGGAATCGAACCAGCGACCCTTTGGTTAGCAGGTCGGCCTCACCCACTGAGCTGCACCAGCCAGGGCTAATTTATTGTTTAGTTGGGCCCCAAATGTAATGGTTTAAACATTTCTACCTGAATTTTCACTTCCATTAAGGAAAAAGAAATAGCTGTCACCTGGGTAAACTCAGCAATTTACAGGAAGACAGAAGTGACTCACATGCTTCTTACACAAAGAAACAGCCAAGGACATACTGTCATTCTCCCACACCCTAGCTTGTCACTTTCCTCCACATTGAACCTTTGCAGTCTTTTAAATAGATATTAATATGTAATGTAAGTTTTTAAAAATATATCTTATACCACAAGGAAATTGAAAGAGCCTAAACTAGCAAACTAGAGGATGGTGGTATTACGTTAATGCCATCCAAATGCATTTGACTACAGGACACTTAAAAATGTGTTAAGAGTGTAGATCTCACGTGTGTTTGGTTTTTTAACCGCAATAAAAAAATTTACTGATACAAAGACTAAATAAAAATAAGTAATTGCAGGAAAAAAAAGAATGTATTTGACCAATAGCATTAAAGAGTCTGCTGAAGTACAGTACTGTACTCAGAGCTAAAGAAAGTTCTCAAAACTATACAGTGCTATTTCCCAGCTCTCTTTTTGTTTAAAAAAGTGGGGTCTCTCACCCAGGCACCACGTTCAGGCACAGGCTTTGCGAAGAGGAGCTCCAACACGGCCACCACGAAATAGGTCACCCCCAGCCGCTGGAGCACGCCTGGGAGTCGCACCTTATCCCATGACACTGTGGAAAGTACGAGTTAGGTGAGGGTCAGCCCGCATTTCTCATTTCACCCCAAGACAACATCACCTTTTTCTAAGGGGGAAGACACACCCACATGACACCTGAGTGAGTCTTCTTAAGCTCTCCGAGAAGGAAACACTATATAGGGTCAGGAGACACCGCTCAAGCTCAGAGCAGGAAGCTGGCCCGCTGGGAGACTGGGATGAAAACAGGAGCGTCCTCCTCGGGTGTGGGGACGGAGCAAGGACTACCCGTGGCCCTGAAAGTTCACCTCCCGGCCCTTTCTCATAACAATATGGATTCAATTCGCACACCCACCAGGAACGTGCAGGCCCAGCACAGGCCACAGACAGACTCCCCCTGCCCTCCAGGCTACATGACTGTGTCCCTGGAAGTGTGGACCCTAGAATGTGTCCTCCTGTAAGCAGCAGCCCGCTCCTGGAGATCCACTGCATCGACTTTATGTGACACCTCCCCTTTTGACCCCAACTAGAAGTGACCTCTACGCCCCCCTACTGCCTAAAGTGTCAGTGCTCCGTGCCTGAGGGGTTGGTTTGGCTGGCGACTAGATATTTGTGTCCTTTTTGCTAATTCCCCTTGACGACAGTGACCACTGCCTTCCTCAATTCTGATACTGGGTCCCAAATACAGGATTTACATCCTTCCTTCAGCTCTCCAATCTCACTCATGCCACTAAAACAATGAAAAGGCGTCATTCCTTCCCAGCGACCCGGCTGGCACACAGCTGGTGACAAAGGTGAATTCTTGAACCACCACACAACAGCCTTATCATGAAAGCTGATGGAACCACAGTGGCAGGAGAGCAGCATCTGAGGACCCGGTGACCTGGTCTGGTCCTACTCTGCCCCCCACCCCACACTTAGCTAATCTGCAGAAAGCACTTCAATGGCTCATGGCAAGAGGTGGCTTTGGGTGGTCTGCAAGGCTCCTCCCAGGTCTAAAAGTCCAGTATAACAACAACAATGTCCAAACTTATGCAAGCATCATATACACTCTTCTAATAACTGTTCTTTCTGCAGGAATTACATGTTTTTCAAATTACAACATGTAGTTTCTATATTTCAACCTGATTATAAATTAACAGAGGGGAAAAATACTTACATGGCCCAAGGCAATAATTGGGGTTCACAATGACGATTCCTAAACAGATTAACAGGAAACTCCTCCACACAACTTTCCCCAGCAACCTGAGTTTTGAACATCCCCGCTGCAGTATGGAGGTCATTGATAGAAAAATGGAAGATCCCATAATAAACACAAACCTAAAAAAAAAAAACCCAGCTTTTACTAGGTGGCCATTTCCAGTTTTTTTGTCTATATACCATTAATACTTTCTAATCTCCTAAAAGAGAAGCAGCACGTGATTTTTTAAAGTAGCCAATTCCTGGAATGACAGCAGGTAATAGTGGAGGACCTGTCAGAATGTTCCCTGCTGGGCGATAGGGTTTGCATGCCTTCGAGTCCTGTCTGAGAGGAAACTCTTCAGTACGGAGGGTGACTTCCAAGGACAACTGTCCTGTTTAATTATCAGAGAGGAATGATGATGAAAATGCTACCATCCAAATAGTGCCATATTCACTAGCACACCCTCAAAGTACTTGAGAAAGAGACCACCCATTTCAGTCTTTTCTAACTTCACTCTTGCTCCTGAAAGAAAAATGAAAGCTTTATTATTTTTTTCTGATTTTGTCTTAGCCACATTCCATCCTTCCTTTCTTTTACCATATGAAAGTACCTCTCTTTTAAAAAGTCAGAACAGTAATTCTTCCAGTTACTTGGCGAAGGCTAACGAGGTGAGTTTGCTCTTGCCACACTGCTTGGGTCCGGGGCTTCCTCCCGGGGACCCTGCAATCAGTCAAAAGCCTCTGGTATCAGGAACAGGAAACAGGCCACTTTTCCATAGGGAACCTCACGGAGAAGATGCGTGAATAACTACCAGGCCTGCAGGCTTGCAAAAGTTCCTCTACCCAAACTCATCTCAAAAAGGAACCTCCCAACAAGCCCTGAGTTCATATTAGCGACGAAACATGAGAGACCAAGGACAATCCAACAGCCAGGATTCCCTCCGGATGACAGAGTGCAGTTGCTCAAAGCGAAGACACAAATTCCACACTGGACAGCAAGTCAGGGGCCACGAAAAAAGAGTAACAAGTCACAGGTAAGTAACAACAGGGTTTGGTTACTCCACTCTTATTCTAAATTTTAGAATAAGAATCATTGCCCTTATCAGAATTCCCTGATACCAATATACTGCATTTCTCTTAGAAATGATTTTTACATTTATTTTCAGGATCAGTAGTATTTACATGGAATTTATAATTTCCTACAAGATTCCAGGACCTTGTGTATCATGTCTACACTAACAAAACGTTCTCGTGGAAATCACTCATCTCTTACACATACGTACGTGCCTTAGATAAGCACTATGCTGAGTGTGAGTGTTATTCAGCACCACAACTTTTGGAGGGACCTCACAACAGCAGAGGCCTGTGAGTAACACAGAGCTGTCTGTGGCCCGCAGCTCAAGGCTGGCCTCAGAGAGTCTCCCTCATTAGCCGAAAAGAAAACCTTGGAGATGACCCTGCGGAAGGGCTGGTGGCGGACTGCCAACTCACCATGGGAACACAAGGTCAGCCACCGTCAGTCCTGCAGAAAAACACAAAGAGTAAGGAAAGGGGCTCTAGAATGTAAACACTTTCTAAATGTAGACTGGCCCCATTATATTCTGATAAATAAGGAAAGGAATCTCAGAGTTCAAGGAAAACGCTTGAAGTGACAGGCACTCCCTGGGGACTCTGCCACCCATCACTGGGCCTAGAGCATCGCCTAAGAGTGTAACTGGGCCCGGGGGGACCAAAGCAGAAGTTTGTGGACAAGTTTGTTATCGTTAAGCAGTGCTATCCAAGCACCAAGGCGGACTCACTGCCACCGCTCAGCACCACTCAGCCCAGCCTCAGCCAAGGGCACCCCGAGGAGGCCCAGGAGTCTCAGGAGGCGTGCACATGCCTGTACTGAAAGGCATGTCTAGAACATGACAGGGACCATTTATAACTAAGTTCTTAACATCTTCTGCAGAGCCCCACAGTCCTGCAGCAGAGACCTTTGGAGTCTCCGGGTTATCACAGTGAAGCATTACGGAGGCACAGAACACAAAAGAAACAACAAAGGAATCTAAAGGTCATTCTATGGGGGGCAGGAGCTCAGTGGCTCTGAGGAAGCTGCTGGGGCCTTGGCTCTGCATCTCCAGGGGGCAGAGGGATCCTCCCGCCCATGGGTCTTGAAGGGGTCCTACTTAAGTACAAGACCTTTAGGAAAGGACTTACCATTCCAACTTGCGTGTTTGAAATACCAATACTTTCCTCCTCCATAATTAACGAAGACCATGAGGATGAGAGCCAGCCTGTAAAGCGAGAAAGAGCCCATTTTCAGGGTGTGCCCATGGTGAAAGGAACGGCCCCACTGCCAGGGACACACTTGCACTCACGAGGTGGTCATGATACAAGAGGGCACTTAAAGAGCAAGGGATGATTACTTCTAGCCACTGCATTTAGGACCCTACACCAAATCTAGACATCCAACATGATGAATTCTTAGGAAAAATTTACACTAACAGTAAACTGTATAACTTGAAAGCAAAGCAAAACATTTCCAATTGCTCAATTTTGTGCTATTTAAATGTCTCAAGTTAAAGAACGGTAGTTGAAGGCATACAGTCCCTACAGTAAGAGCTAAGGGTTCATGTCTTCGGTCCTTCTCTCCTATGAACCGTAAGACCATAGGCAGAACCCTCGCCAGTTACCTCAGTGTGCTTCTCGGTGAGAGGGCGCACCTCATGGAGGGACCGCCAGGACGCTTGGCAGTAATGCACACTGTAGCACCCAACCAGAGGTTGGCAATTTCAGCACTTAATTAACGTTGGTTCCTGTCTACCTGTGAATACTTTATATGGCGATGAGAATCAGAGAGAGCAATACAATAAAAGCATTCCTGGATATGCTATTGTTTGATGCTAATTCTGTAGAAGGCAGGGAATGAAGGCTTTCGTACATTAAGGGGTCGTTTGTGGAGATTCTGGGGCCCAAGTGCCTAGAATCAAATCCTGCCTGTCTCACTTAGTCCCAGAGTTGTTACTTAACTCTCTGGCTCAATTTCTTTATCTGTGAAACAGGTATATTAAAAGGATATACCTCATGGGACTGTTAAGAGAGTACATAAATTAAGACAAGTTACAACAGTGCCTGGCACATAGTGAGAACTCAAGACTGTTAGCAGTTGTTATTATCATTTCTGTTACTATTATTCAGCTTCAAATATACACACCAGGAACACCCAGGGCTCTGCTGAGGCCGGGACAGGATTACAAGGTTATCACTAGAGTTTAGAGACCGTGGTGAGTAGAAATGGAAGACCTGATACCTAGATATTTATTTCCAGCTATTTAGTTTTATACTTTATTTTCGGAGATTGGTCGGGGCCTTCAATCTTCTACCAGAACTATAAAATAATAATTTACTCTATGACACTGTGGCTTTGTTATTGAAAGGTCTGATATTCTAGCTGTTTTGCCAACAGTGCTGGAGGATGAGCGCTGAGTCCATCACGTTCTGGCGTTCATTTCTGGACTGACGCATCTTCTCCTCTGTCAAGCTGGTGACCGGCCAAAGCAGGGGGTGGGGGGCACGGATGGCCACGGGGCCCCACACACCGCTGCCTGCCCCAGTGCGATGACCTTAACTCAGCAGAGTCTACACACCGGTAGAAACTGCTCCTGGTCTTGTCCCACTACTCCTCTCTAGTGACACAGGGTGCAGGCTATCGTGACAGTTTTCAAGAAAGGTGAGGCTGCTGCTTTATTTTTATAGCAAGAAATCCCCTCTAGCCTAGAAAGTGAAAGATCTACCTTAATTTAAAAGTATATTTATGTGCCCTAAATAGTATGGCCCAGTTGGTGGATGTCATTGCACAAAGTGAAAGGTTGCTGGTTCAATTTCTGGTCAGGGCACACGCCTGGGCTGCAGGTTGCATGTGAGAGGCAAATGATCAATGTTTTTCTCTCACACTGATGTTCCCCTCCCTTCCCCTCTCTCTAAAAAATAAATAAATAAAATAAAATCTATTAACATAAAAGTGTGTTTATGTGTAGACATGTAACTTAGACTACCCGAGCCCACTGTGTTACAAGGGAGCCCACGTACCCCCTGAATGTGTCCACACAGCGGAGGCGCAAAGGCGTTGCAGACAGGCGCCACGCTTCTGGTTGGGTATCGTCACCAAGCTGGTCTGCCCTGCTTGGAGAGCCCAGCTCCTTCAGAGAAAAAGGGAGAAGGACAATGACAATTCACAATGCTAGGGAATAAATTTCATTTTCTACTGATTAGAGAGAAATTAACAGAGTGGAAAGTTAAAGATCACTGTTCTGAACGATACTTCAATTTGCTTTTGTAAAGATCCATGTAGAGGTTTGGTTTCTCGATTTCTCTGATTTTGTGCTTTCCACTGAGCTTGCTGTGCCCGTGTTGATAAATGACAACAAAGAGCTGGTCCGTAAGTGCAGCTGGTATAAGTGTACAAGGAACTATGTCTGTGGTGGACAAAAATATGTCCCCAACAAATTTATTAGCAGAAATAATATGTTTAACATATGATTAGGCCATTGCATGCATAGATTCAATACTGATGTCTCTTGTTTTAATATCGACACTCTCACTGTGGCTGGTGTGGCTCAGTGGATTGAGTGCCAGCCTGCAAACCGAAGGGTCACTGGTTCGATTCCCAGTCAGGGCACATTCCTGGGTTGCAGGCCAGTCCCCAGCTGAGGATGTACAAGAGGTAACTACATATTGATGTTTTTTTCTCTTTCTCCCTCCTTTCCCCTCTCTCTAAAAATAAATAAATGAAATATTTTTTTAAAAAATTCCTCCTCTTTAAAAAAAAAAGAAATTGACACTCTCCACCTAACTGGGTTGAGCCAGGCGCGCTGCCTATGGAGTGGAGAACGTCCCCACATCGTGCATCACAAGGCAGCCCTGAGTTCCAGCCTCGCTGAAGAAACAAAGGGGACCGTGCCTTTCCCAGGAGCTGGGAGGAGGCTGCTCTTCACTGAGAAAACGGGACAAATTGACCTGGACTTCCAAAATATAAATAATATTAACTAAGCCTGATACTAAAGGTTATTAAATAGGAAATTGTAAATTCTGAATCTAGAAAACCACCCAGACCATACGTGACGCATCCCAATAACTCACAGAGTTGATGAGGCGATCAGTTTCCCGAGAACTTATTGCTTTAGAAATCCAATTATTAAAGTCATCTAAACTGCAGAGAAAGAAAAACCTCAGTAAATGTATTTTCTTTGGCAGAATTTCCAAAATAATAGGACATCACATTGAAAGAATATTAATTTAAACTCCATATTCCATACCAGTCAAAGAATTAAACATTTTAGTTTTAAACGAAACAAAAGTAGAAATCAAAGTTTATGGCAGCAGTATTTTTAAATGTCAGCCCTTACAGCATTGTTTCCTCATCAATAAAAATAGAAATTAAGATAGAGCCTTCATTCAAGAGTTTTTGTGAGGGTTTAATGAAATTATTATTCCCTCGTGCTAGAATTCTTATTAGTAATACTACTAAAATTAGAATAGCAAAAAATTCCAAACAAATACACTCATTACAGAAATGACTAAACACAGTATATGACAGCTGTGTAACAGGAGGAAACACAGCTGTTAAAACAACAAGAATGTACCCTGACCGGCCACGGCTCAGATGATGAGCACTGTCCCTCAAAGCGAAAAGCTGCCAGTTCAATTCCCGGTCAGGGCACATGCCTGGGTTGCGGGCCAGCTCTCGCACATTGATGCTTCCTTCCCTCTCTTTCTTCTTCCCTTCCCCTCTCTCTAAAAATAAATAAAATATATTTTTTTTAAAATGAAAATAAAATAACAAGCATGCGGGCTCTGTGCATACAAAGAAATACAAATAAATATAACCTATTGGCCCTGGCTGGTGTGGCTCAGTGGATTGCACATGGGTCTGCAAACCAAAGGGTCGCTGGTTTGATTCCCCCAGTCAGGGCACATGTGTGGGTTGTGGGCCAGGTCCCCAGTTGGGGGCACGTGAGAGGCAGCCATACATTGATGTTTCTTCCTTTCTTCTCCCTCCCTTCCTCTCTCTAAAAATAAATAAATAAAATCTTTAAAAAAAATAAAAATAAGTAAAATATTTTTAAAATATATAAGCTATTGAAAACAAAAAGCAAAAATCCATTACACAGACTCCATTACAACTAAATAAAAATGCATGTATGCATAGTAAGAAAGTAACTTTGGAATAATTCAAATAGTTAACATATCGGGTTCTTTTTCCTGGAAGGGTACTTTAGTTTCAAAAGATAGCCAGATGATATTAAACTGATTTACATGATTAACAAAAGATAAATATATTTACTGGTTTTTCTTTAATATGAGATTTCTACTTACCACGTTTTACATAAACTTTGCACATTTGAATTACCAAATGCATAGGATTTTTTTCCCTTTTCTTTCTTTTCTTACCATGGAAAGTTTCAAGCATATGCAGAAGTAGACAAACTAGCATAATAAATATCCATGGACCCTTCCCCCAGCTGCAACAAGTATCCGCACATGGTCAGTCTTTCTTCACCTACACCCTCACACTCCACCCCTTTTATTTTAACGTCCCACACATAACATTTTATCCACAAATATTTCAGCATGTACCTCCAAAAGATAAGAACCTTTTTTTTAAGATTTTATTTATTTATTTTCAGAGAGAGGAGAAGGGAGGAAGAAAAAAAGGGAGAGAAACATCAGTGTGTGGTTGCCTCTCACATGCCCCCACCTGGGACCTGGCCTGCAATCCAGACACGTGCCCTGACTGGGAATAAAACCAGTGACCTTTACAGTTCACAGGCCGGCACTCAACCCGCTGAGCCACACCAGCCAGGGCAGAATCTTTTGATTTTTAAACATAACCCTAGTACCTTTATTACATTTTAAAATATTATCAATTCCTTTATATTACCAAAAAGCCTGTTCAATTTCCCTGTCTCATAAGTTTTCTTACAATTTAATTCTTCAAATCAGTATCCAAACACGATCCATATATCCAATGCATATAGTTATAATTTCTTCTTTCTTTTCCCCACCACTAAACTTCTATTTCTAGTTTATTCAGCACCAATAACATCACTATTACATGAAAAATATCAAAACAGAGACATCTAAGGAAGGGTGAAAAGGAGAAGTTAAAATATGTTAAAATTTTTAAAAAGCACTTAATCTCCTTGTACATGACAGAAGCTGTATTCCCACTACTTTTTCAGATCCTTTTCTGGTTCAGACAAACTTGAACTTCCCTGGACATCATGGGCCTGCTGGGAAGTGACAGGGCCAGGACAAGGGCATCCTGCTTTGCCAACTATAGCCTTCTGCCTGGCGCTGCAAAGGCGGGTTCACATGCAAAGGAGAGTTTCAGTTCCACAGCAGGGTGAGGTGGTATTTCCTCCCTTTCAAGAGCTGGATATCAGCTACCAATTACTCCAGAAAGTGACGTAATGGATACATTTGCATCAAAAGCACCAAATGAAAAAAATCCTAATGAATTGGAACAGTATTTGCATCTTATCCGAAGACTGACAGAGATAATACCTTGATTCAAATAAATGCAATGCCTCTGCTAGGATTATACTCTGTCCCTAAAAAAGCAGATAGATTACACATTTGCTACTGCACAGCAAGTCATTCTTCTACCCCTATACACAGTCAGGTTTCTCATACATGGAATTATTTCTAGGATGCACAAAGGCAGAGGGTCAGAGTATATAAACTCCCCAAAGTTGCAGGGTTTCCCCAAGCCAACAAACTTAAAGGCTAGCTTTTCTATCTTCCAGCTTGGATATAGCTCACCAGTAACAACGTGTGGTCCTTCCTGAGATACTAATAGGCTAAGCACATGAAAAAATCCATCTTACTCCTTTTAAAACAAAAGAATGTTCCTTGGAAAGGTGATTTGCCAGGCCTGGATCTATTTTACCTTCTTTTTCTTCCCAGACTACTAATTCACTGTCACCAGAATTGCTGTTAACCGAAGAAGTCCCTCCTCCAGCTGCTAACCCAACAAAGGCAAGAGTCTGCCCTGCCGCCTGGAAGCACTGCACCTCGCCCTCTGCCTGGGGGTGGGAGGGTGCCAGGCCTGCGGGAGCGGGGAGCCGGACTAGAGGGGTGGCCCCAGGGCTCAGAGCCAGAGCGAGGGAATCAAAGTCCAGCAAGGCGGCCACCTCCTAAAATCACCACCGCCCACTTCGACTCGCTATGAAACAGGATGTGTGATTCTTTCAGGAAATTATTGCTCAAGCATTTGCTTCTACTTTTTCAGCCATTTGGGAGAACTGAAGGCAATGATCCATTAGAATTAGTTTATGGTTTCCCTGAAGTCGGGGATCATCTTTTATGCTACACTGAATCCCCACGACTGGGATTCATGGTGGACACATTAAGTACTCCTTTACTCAATGAATAATGGTCATTTGATGGGTCAAACTACCCTTTCTGAATATATTTTTTCTACATTCTACTTTCCCTGATTGTGCTTACCTCAACAAGAACTTTAGAAAGCACACAGCAATGACGACCGATAGGCCAACAAGGAAAGCAATACACACAGCTATAAAAATGAGAGAAAAGATGTCATCACCAAAAATGTCATCATAAGAATCAAAGTTATCACATTGTTACATTTAATCTATAAGTGAAAAATGAAAAAAAATAAAAATAAAAACAAATGAGGGAAAAGCCTATATTCTTAGGCTAAATTTCCTATAAACAATTGAGAACACTTCATAAGGGGAGTGTTAATTTTCATTATGAAAAATACCAACATACATAAAAATACAGAGACCGGTATAATAAACCCATATATACCCATCACCTAAATTCTAGAATTATCAGAATATTGTCACTCCTGCTTTACCTATTACTAGTCTCCCCTTTGTTTTTTGTTGGGTTTTTTTTGTTATCTGTTTTTTGCCTAGAGTGTATTTAAGCAAGTCTCAGACACCACGTGATGTCACCCTACACCTTCAGCTGTATCTCACGTCAGCACCGTGCACCTCCTGACAGGACCCACCGAGAAGGGCACTGGCACCACTTCCTAAGTCATCTACCAAAAGGGCGTGCCCTCTACCTCTTGGCGAGAAAACAGCAAGTAAATCCAAACAACAAAGGAACTGCCTGGCCCTTTTCAAAAGTGTCAAGATCATGAAAGACAAAGACTACGGAACTGTCCAAGGTTAGAGGAGAGAAAGGAGCCTGATGATTAAATGCACTGTGGGAACCTGGACTGGGTCCTGGGCCAGAAAAAAAAAATCAGAAGGAACAACTGGAGAAAAATAAAAACTGTAGATCAGTTAACAGTACTGTACCAATGTTAAGCTCCTGGTTTCAATAATTGTACATGGGGCTTCAATCATTGCGCTATGAAGCCACAGTCTAGGAGTGTAGAACACGCTGGGTAAAGGGTATATGGGAACTCTTTTTCGCACTGTTTCTAGAAGTCTAAAACTATTTCAGAATTAAAAGTTTCTTAAACATGAACCTTTTGTGATAGAACCACAAAGTCACACCAAATTAACAATAATTCCCAGCTGTTTTCTGTAGTGAGTATGTTCAAATTAAGATCCAAACAAGATTCACACCTTGCCTTTGCCTGTTTTGTTTCTTGTCTCATTTAGTCATAAGCCTCCACTGACTTGATTTAAACACCAGGACAGCTGTCGTCTGTTAGAATGTCTCATGTTCTAGATCTGTCGGCATGCTTCCTCATGGTACCACTGAACTTGTTCTCCCAACCTCCAAATGTTCTGCAAGTGTTCTGAAATTTGCTGCAAAGGCTTGACTAAGAAAGTTCAAGTTCAACTTTCTTGGGAAGGATGCTTCCCACTGCACCACACCAGAAGCACCTCCTGGCACTGACCATGTGCCCGATGTATGGGTTCAGCTGCTAAAACCCAGATCCCTCCTGTGCAAAGTTCCCATTTCATCTGATGGCATCGCCTATAGCGATTATTTCATTAGGCGTTGCAAAACATTCTGCCACTCTGCCATTTATCAACTGGAATTCTACTCTAAAGAATTTACCCTATCCACCTAGGGCTACTTAATTGTGCTAAAATACAGTTAAAACAGGAAAAACAGGGTAAACACTTAAATCTTTCCTCTCAACCGACAATTTTAAGTCATAGTAGTCAAAACCAGAAATCCTGTTACCTCCAAAGGTAACCAAAGCATTGTTTTTGTTTGGGGAGAAGGGCTTTGCTCTTTTTAGTTTCACAATGAACTCATTGGGTTTTGTATATTCAATGTGTTTCCATCAATTACATTCCTTATTCTTTTTAATACTTAAGTTGTCCCATACTGGCCTTTTCATAGTGGCTCTTATTGTTCTTATGACATGACCCCACAGTCGTCAATAGCTTCAATATGAACAGTACTTACTAATGCCCTAGAGATTTATTATATTATCTAATGGAGGGCTCAGAGTGACAGATTTTCTTTAGTAGAGTTATTATAGAATGAACAGTCTCTTTTTAACCTAAGGGGACCTCTGGACTGTCAACATACGACACGTATAAGAAATACTAGACCCTAAGTCCACAAACAAGGAAAGATACTTAACAGTTTCTTTCCACTGCATTAACTTTTTTGGCTTATTTATGCTTTGCAATTAAACAGCTATGAGACTACTGATATATATATATATAATTTTGATATATAATTTTTTACATATACATAATCTTCTTGGTATTTTAAATACCGATAACACAATAAAGATCCCATAATTATGAGACAGATAACCTGTAATTCAGGTTTTACATTACACAAAGTGTTGCAGACAGTACTCAAAAGCTAAAACGTTTAAAAATGCAAATCTGAGAAGTCCACAAAGAGCATATACGTACGAAGGTTGCTGTCCACTGGATTCTGATTGACAACCACGTCACAGGCAATATTACCGCTTCCATTGCGGGCATACTTTACCAAGAGCGAATAGTTTCCAAATTCCCCAAAGCTGTATTCCAGCCTATGAAGATTTGGTAAAGTTAAGAAAGATGATTAGATTAGGAGAAAAAGGAGATGGATTTTGGTTATGTCATGAAGGATAGACATTCCTGGCTGCAGACCAGGAAAGACATAAGAAAATATTTTAAAGGAAGAAAAACCTAAAAACCAAGTAAGAACAAAAGTAGAGAGAAAATAGACCTCTGCAGGTCACGGCAAAGCAGGTACAAACCTACAAACTTCCTTCTCTTCCACGGTGTCATTAAGTTGCAGGAAGGCTCTGTGCTGGGTGCTCACAGCCACAGTGGCAACGCTGGGTTTCCCAGGTTTTCCACTCCCGGAAACAATCACCAGAGGCTGAGGCAAGCACTGCAGAATAAAAGCGCAGCACACTGGTAAGGTGCTCGAAAGTCTCTTGGTGGCTGGAGGACAGGAACATCCAACTGAAGGTCTTGAAATGACTTTTCTTTCATATTTATGGAAAAACTTTAAAATTTCAGTAATTTAGATAAAATTTGCCTGCATGTTGCCTCAATGTGCTGTTACAGAACTATGCAATCTTTACTTACAGGTAAACTTTTCACATGACTAACAAATACAGCATACACTCAATTATGCGTTCTACTGTTTTGATTATTTAACAAATACATTTCCACGATTGTACCCAATTTGCATATTTATAATTGTTAATGATTGCATTATATTCCATCAAATATTATGAGTTTTTAGGCTGCTTCCAAAGCTTGTTTTATCTTTTTGTATGTGATTTATATAAATTACATTGTTTTTAAAAATAAATATATAATTTAATTATAAGTAAATATGTTTATAATTTACATGTTATATTGTTTTAAAAGATCTACTCATGATGCTCTTATTCATTTAAATTAACTGAAAGTTTTATTTAGTCATACTAATTTGGTTTATCATTTCTACCATTGCTTCACTACTTTAAACAGGTGTTCTGCCTTGTCTAGTATTCTTTAAATTTGTGGCTTTTTTAAAAACTTGAACCCACTTGGAGCATTTGACAGATGGTATGTAACAATTCTAAACACTTTTCCCCATGGTTTTAGTTGTAATATGTTAAATTCGTATGTAAAATGCCTCTGCTTCTTATACTTACTTTGGTCCTGGTCCTCATTTCTCATTTTTTGGCAAAATACACAACTTTGTAACAGATCTGACATGGGCCAGCGAGTTGCCACGATGCCCATTCTCCTTTTGGGTGGCCCTGTGATTCTTTTGCTCACTTACTTTTTCATACGAATTTTGTAATTATTTAGGCAGATTCTATAAAGTATCCATTGATATAGTAACAGCAACTGTGTTCAGTGTATGAATTTGGTAACTACTGTCATTTTCCTTTTAGTCTTCATATTAGAGTGTTCCGCCTATTGCTACATTTAACCTCTATTTTTCCCATTAAAACTTCATCATTTCCTTCTCATATGAGCTCTAAAGATTCCTCAAGGATAAAAGTGTCTACATAAATAAATCTCTCAATATGCTAACTTAGTCTACTTGATAGAATTTTATTTAAGATTTCTGAACCCCTATTAATTAGAAAAGTTTCTCAGCATTTCTTGTAATATCTTTGCCAGGTTTGAAGAGGAACGTCCTACCTATACTGCAGAATAAATCAAATATCAAGCCATCATTTTTGAGGGGTGGTCATATTCGGATCAACTTATATAGATTGAGAATTACTTATTATTTGAAAATGTAGAAAATTTTACCTATTTTTAAGTAGAGGAATTCATTATAACTTTCCAGATTTCTTAGTCAGTTGCTGATTTATTAATGTTCTCAATTTCTTGAATCAATCTTCATATATTTTTTAAGGAAATCAATCAATTTTTAATGTTGAATTTATCAGCTTGTAACTGTTCACTGGATCATAATTATTTTCAATAAACTGGTTATATATCCTAATTTCTAATTTTATTAATGCCCATTGTGCTCTTAAATTTATCAATAAATTACCAATTATGTGACTTTTATTTTAAAATATCTCGACTCACTCCTTTTTTGAATTTTTTTTCATTTTCCAGTTTACATAGTTGTCATTTTTTTTTAAAGATTTTGTTTATTTTTAGAGAGAAGGGAAGGGAGAGAGAAAGAGAGGGAAACATCAACATGTAGTGTCCTCTCGCATGACCCCTACTGGGGACCTGGCCCACAACCCAGACATGTACCCTGACTGGGTATCAAACCAGCAACCCTTTGGTTTGCAGGCCGATGCACAATCCACTGAGCCACACCAGCGCCAGGGAGTCATCTTTATTGCTTTCTTTTTTTCCTCTTTGTTTAGAAGATGATACTTTGGCTTTCCAAAACCCTGAGACTGCTATTCAGTAGCTTTGCATTTCCCCTTCTTCCTGATTAACATATAGCAGGATCCTAAGAATGGAGGGATATAAATCCACATTAACAGCTGGGTAAACCAGGAAAAGGTCACTTTTTTCTCTTAATCTCAGTATCACCTCTTGCAGAATCCCAATATACCCTCTCTCCCAGATTGTTGTGAGGATTAAATGAGATATAACATATCTGAGGCATGGAACAAGCCCTCAGCAAAGAGCAGCTGCAACTTCTGTTACAATCATCTTTATTATTAGGAATATTTTAATACAACTTTTCATGAGAATTTCTCTTGCCAGATCAAAGATTTTTCTATGAAATACATTTTCCTTAGGCATAATTATCTTCTCCTCTTTTAAATAATTTAGTCTTTTTTTCTTGAGTTAGTCTTATGTAGTGAATTTTGTTTTTTGATTCTTCGGTCTATCACCAGTGCCACTATTTTTTGTACCAATGTTTTGTTTTGTTTTTTAATTCTAAAGATGCTCTTACCTCCCCTATGGCTAATACCTTTCTTCCCCTCAACTTGTTTTCCAAGGATTTTAGGTCATTATTAAGTCTGTTTAGAAGACATTTTTCTTATTCTCTGAATTATTAATGAGTCTTGTAGCTTTTTAATTCTGCTACTGCTAATTTTTTTTTCAGGTTTTCCTTTAGATCTTTCTTGCAGACTAAATCTTCTCTTTGTCGTAAGCTACATTTTTTCATATTATAGATTTTCTTTGTTTCACATTACTTCACAAAGCTTTCCATGGGTTTAATCAAATAGAGGAAGCGCCGTGTACCCCTCCATCATCTTTTCAGCTGGTACGCGTGCTAGGGGTACGCCATACATTCAGATTCCTCCTCCGAAGGTGGTTATGTGGACACTCTCAACTTTATTTGGAAATAAGAAATATTGTATTCTACATGGAAGAATAGCCTCATCCTTAAAAAAGCATAAAGGCCTAGAATAGGAGTGAACCCTTCAGAAAAAATAAATTCTTTCTATCAGCCAACAGGCAGGTCCCTGGAATAACCGCCATCCTGCCTCAACAGGACCTCGCTGCTGCCCTTACCACCCTTGACCTTGGAGAATACTCAGGTGTCTCGCTCCCTGCTCTGGTCCAGCAAGAGGGTTAGGCATAAGCAAAGGAGTAAAATAAAACACGCTCCATCAATTTGGCTAATCACTGAGAACTGGTTGTTTGTTTGGTTTTTAATGGGTAGTGGAAAAGATAAACAAATGTTGCTCATTGCTAGGCATTCTTCCTCATTATACTTCTTATGATGGTATAGCCTGGTTGTTTCCTTACCTATAAGATAGCACGTATGGGAGCATTAAGGATATATCAAACCATCCCTCAAGTAAACAAAATTGTTAGCATGGACATTATACCTACATGATAACAGCGTTCAGAATTCCAGTAGACAGTCAAGCTTGTCCCATGTAGTTCATTATGGATGAGCAGCAAAGCCTGGTCCATCTTCAACTCTACATGTCTTTTTTTGTCTAAATCTAGTAAGAATTAGGAAAAAAAGTTTAAAAAAATAAAAAACAAAGCACTTGAAAAATGTGTTTGTTAGAGAAAAAGTACACCTGCGTGAATGGTGGCTTCAAAGGAGTGCTTCTCAAATGCCTGCATTCTGGGGGCTCTGGTCCCTTACTTTGCGTATACACACACATGCATGCACACACACACATGTACACAGCCAGGTGTCCTCTTGCACAGGTGCCTCTACTGCACATGCAGACTCAGTCAACACCACTCACAGCCAGCGTATAAAAAGTCTGTGTACATTCATCAACTGCTCAGATGTGATAGGCACCGAATTTAGTACAATAGTTTCCACATATCTTCTATTTTGATAATAAGACAATCTCATGAGCTAGGCATTTTCTCCATTTGACAGATGAAGAAAATAAGGTTCCTAAGGACTGGATAATTGCCCATGGCCACAGAGTTTTTCTGTGAAATGTCTTAAACTGTTTTGAACCCAATTTGTGTGATTCGAAAGTTCCAAACTTTCTCTGACCGCGTGCATCACTCTGCTCTGAGCGCGGTAAGGGCAGCACGGGTCCTGCAGAACCCCAGACCTCCGGGGTCAGGACAAGCAGTCAGACCGCGCAGTCAGACCTACCGCGGGATTTGGGTGCCCTTTCGAGTCTGCTTTGTATCACTTTGGTTTGGAGTTCTGAATCTCCTTCGCTTCCACAGAAGACTTGGGGGAAGTAAGGAGAGAGGATAAGCGTAGAGCTCCCCATTTTATTAGATGCTTTTAGGAGTCCACCAAGAAATGCACATTCTACATTTAAGTTTGCCAAATTTGGAGAAAAACAAAGTGAACTATTATTAGCTAAATTAAAACAAAATGCTTCACTAAGACCAACTGGGCCATTTATATCTATTATATTATATGACGGAGAAATTAATTTACTCCCTGGCCTTTAGCAAAGGGAAAACATGGCAAACTAGAAATGTAATAATCTAGCCTCTTTTATTTCATAGTATGAAAGCTCCCTTCAGGGCTAAAAAAAAAAAAAACAACAACAACAAGCAAACAAACAACTAAAGCTCTGACCCATTTCCATCCAATTTCATTCAAACCTGTACCCAACCAGCAAGATGTTCCTCCCTAAAACAACAACAAAAACCCCTCAAATATCAATAATTTTAATATGCAGCCAAGGTCGAAAACAACAGCTAGAGACACTGTGAGTGCAAAGCCAGGGGATTTTGACAACTTTGTGCTTTTTTCCACTATGTGAACGTATTTTTTTTAAAAACCAGTGAGTCTGTATTACTCAAACACTCAAAGGAGACAATTCCTAAGCTATCCAATATGACACTGAAATTGAACCTGAGGCTTAGTTTCAAGAAAAAACTGCCAAATGCAGACACAGCTCACTTTAGAAATACCAAGGTAACACTCAAGGAGCATTATCTACAAAAATAACAACCCCCTCCTCTTCCTGCTTACAGTGTCTTGGTGAGGAAATAAACCAAATAAAGTCACCTTTCAGTAGTCCTGGGGGTAACTGTGCTGTTTGCATATTAGACTTTTATTCCATTTCCAAATATGTAACTTCTGCTTCTAGCTCTCTGCTCAGGAGTGTCTTTGCCAGGCATATTTTAAAGAACATATTCTACTTAATATATTTTTCTTTTTTGAAGTAAACTTGGGTCCTCAAATCATATATGAAGATGGAATTCTAGGTAGGAAGTTGTTCAGCCCAAACCTGGGCTCCAGGTGGTACTGAAAGTCTGGCTGTCCTCTCAGCACAGCTTGGTTCTGGGGCGGATCGCTCAAGAATATTATGTTCTCCTCCACTACATACAATTACTCTTTACGAACTACTTTTTTTCCCCTAAAATAGTTATGCTTATGAATTGGTGCTAAAAGACAAAGAAAGAGCATTGCACGAATCTGTCCCTGACAAGTTGTGACTGGGCAGATTACGTTACCTCTGAGGCTGATTTCCTCAAATTATCAAAGGCGAGGGAGAATGAGATTGAGCCCGAGGGTAGGGGAGGCAGCATACAAAATGTAATCAGCTAAAATGCTTTTTCAAAATGTATTCTGTCGTAGCCCCACAAGATTCTGCTTGGGGAGGAGAGGCAGTCTGAACTTCACCCAGTCACCAAAACTCCTTGTTCTGATACAGAAGAGGGGATGACAGGAGGGAGAAGAAGGTAAGTGACTCACTCTTCCAGGGGATAGTGTGACCCTCCCCAAACGCTGACGTGCTTAGGGCTTGCTTCACTTGACTGATTCCACAATCCCTGACCAAAGCATTGCCTGGAGAGGGCCTTGGGACCCTCGTTCCAGAAGTCTAGAGAAAGGCCCCGGAATCTGTATTTTTCACCACATCCCCTGGTGAGTTCGGACACCAGACAAGTAAGGAAAATAAATGAGCTATTTCCTCTCCTCCCGGCTGCACATTAGAATCACCCCCCCCATCTCGGCAAAAATACCCCCGCCAGGCCCCTCCAGGCTGTGAACATCTAACGTCGTTCAGTGGCATCCCCACAAACGGCAGGCACCTCGACTGTTCTGTTGTCACTTCGTAAGTAACAGTCCCCTAAGGGAGGCTGGGAGGTGGTTCGCTTGAGATCTGACTTCGAGTTTTAACTACCAGCTCCTGCAATCACCGCTCTCCCCGCGCCGCCGCCCGTCACTCCCGAGTGCCACGCCAGCGCCATGCGAGGTCTTTCGGGATCCAGCTGAGGACCGGGGTTGACCGCAACTCCAGGCACGGGGCAGGGCGGCGCCCGCGCTTCCGCTTCTTTGCCCCGCACAGGGCAAACCGCTAAATGCTCTGGCCTCTGGGGGATTTCATTTGTGCGCAAGAACCGCCACACAGTGGACTGGGAGAGCGTTGCAAGCTGGGTGCACCCCTCTTGGTCACTCCGACTCTCATCTAGCTTTGCATTGGGGAGGAACTAGACTCCCGGTCAAAGGCACACTTAGAGACAAAGTCGCCTGAAGGCGCTGGGTGCCCCGCAGCCTCGGGGCGAGAGGGGCAAAAAGCTTCGTTGCCCCGCGGCTCTCGAAAACACCAGCACCCCGCTCCTTCCCCGCTCCTGCCGTGCTTTCGGCCTTGCGTCGGTGCACGTCGGATGTTGCCCCCACCCCACTGCGCGATGCTGACCCGCCCGTAGCCTGCTACAGCGGCCAAACGTGCTCAGTCGCCAAGCTCCCGGTCCCTGCACGCTCACACCGCGTAATGTAAACAAACACTCTAGTTCCGGGGAACTGCCTTTCCGAGCGCACGCTCGGGGAGCGTCGCAGGCCGGGAGGGGAGTCGTCGCCCTGCAGGCACCGCAGCAGAAGGGGGCGCGGGGTCCGCCGAGCCACCCCGGCCGGCGCCTCGGCGCGCACTCACCTCGAGGCGGCGCGGGCTCGGAGCCGCGCTCCAAGGAGCCGCCAGGGGCCAGCAGCGTGGCACTCAACACCGACGCGACCAGCAACAGCGCGGCCAGCGTCCGGCCCGCGGCCCGCGCCCAGCTCATGCTGCCCGCCGCCACCACCGGCTGCCGCTCCCTCCCGGGCGCGGCCTCGACCGCCGCTCCTCCTCCTCGGACGCCGCCGCGCTCCCGAGCTCTGCGCTTCTTCGCCGTGCACGGCCGCGCGCCCGTCATAGCCTCGCTTTCGGATGCCGTCACTGCTGCCTGAGTCACCCGCGGGGGGAGGGGGAATGGGCGGTGCCGGCGGGTGCGGGAAGGTCTGGGGGCCGGACTGCTCTCGGCCCTAGGTTCGGGGAGCTTGCTAAAAGCCAATATTTCTTCCCCGCTACCCAGTGCTCTTTGTCCTCAGGGAAACATCCAGAAGAGAGGCCTTCGGCAGGCCACAAGCCACTGTTCCCGTCTCTGATCACTCCCCTGAGCAACTTTCTGCTAAATTCCTACGTCCAACCCTTCACCATACAAATAAATAGGTGCTAGTGTCCTCTGTCCACTGTTCTGGAAATGTCAAGGTAAGTAAGACAGGCAGAGCCCCATCCCAAGACATTAACTATTCAGAGAGAACGATGAGACTTAAAAGCCATCATGTGGTACCACCACTTTGAAGAGCTCTTTGCCAGTCTCTGATAAAATTCAAGGCGAGCTGCACGATGACCTCGCAGTTCCACTCTCACCTATGGCGGGAGAAACTATCATTCGTATATAGGGACATGTACAATAATGGTTGTAGCAGAATGGTTTGTAATTGCAAAAACCTGTAAACAATCTGAATGCCCATCAGTAGGGGAAGTGGATAAATTGTAGTATAATATATACAGCAGTAGTAATGATCTGGTGTTACGTATATCAAAATGGATGACTCAAATAAGGCAGAGGGGAAAATCCAAGTTGCAGAAATGCATTCGTAATAACTTATATGTAGAGTGTAAAGCCAAGAAAAGTAATACTATGTTGTTTAGGGATATATGCATATGTAGTAAAAGTGTAAAGACATGAATGGGAAGATAACCACTGAACAGCTGACATGACACTTGAAAGACTAAATATTTTCCCCCTTAGATCAACAACAAGGCAAGGATATTTGCCCTTCCCTCTTCTACTCAGCATTGTCCAGGAGGTCGTAGGGCAACAAGACAAGAAAAAGAAAGCAAGTATACAAATTGGCTTTATTCAAATATGGCATGAATGTATGTGTGGAAAATCTTAAGGAATCTCCCCCCACCTCCCAAAAGTAGGAGAACTTGTAAGTGAATTTAGCAAGGTCACAGAATTCAAAGTCAAAATACAAAAATCAATTGTATTTTCATATCCTAGATATAAACAAAATTGGAACTGGACTTATTTAAAATAGAACTTTTTAATAGTCACTCTGAGGGCATTTTTTCACTGCTTTTAGAGAAACACCTGTGTAAGAGAGACACATCGATTGGTTGCCTCTATCGGTGTCCTGACCAGGGACCAAACCTGCAACCCAGGTATGCACCCTGAGCGGGAGCAAACCGGCAGCCTTTCAGTTTATGGGACGCTTCAACCAACTGAGTCACACTGACCACAGCTACGATAGAATTTTTTTAATCAATACATAAATAAATTAACAAAATGGGTTAACCCTGCGTTAAATAGGGTTTAGACCTGAACCCTAAAAGCTACAAAACATCAATGAGAGAAATTAAAGAAGACCCAAATTGTCAAAGAGGTCTACCATGTTCATAGATTAGAAGAACCATTACTGTTAAGATGCTAGTTTCTCACAAATTGATCTCCATAGATTGAGTGCAATCCAAATCAAAATTCCAGCAGGTTATTTGTTGGGGGGGGGAGGGAGTGTGTGTGTGTGTGTGTGTGTGTGTAGAAATTGGCGTGTGTGTGTGTGTGTATGTGTGTGTGTGTGTGTAGAAATTGGCAAGTGACCTAAAATCTGTATGGAAATGTAAAATGATTTTAAGGACAACAAAGTTTCAGGTCTTGCACTGCCTGAGTTCAAGATTTACTATAGCACTATCGTAACCTAGATAGTATGTTATTGGTAAAGAATAGCAATATAGAGAAATAAAGTAGGAAAGCCTAAAAGTAAACCCACAAAATTGGTTTTTCACCAAGTTGCCAAAGCAATTTAATGGGAGAAAGAATAATCTTTTCAATAAATGATGCTAGAACAATTGGACATCCCCATGAGAAAAAGCGAACCTTAACTCTTAACTTCACAGCCTACACAAAACTGAACTAGAAATGGGTTATAGACCTAAACGTAAAGGCTGAAACTATAAAACATCTGGAAGAAAATAAAGGAGAAAATATTCATGATCTTGAGTTAGGTAAAGCTTTCTTAAACAGTATATAAACCATTTAAAAATAAATAAAACACACTGGTAAGAAAATGAAAAGGCAAGCCTCTGGCTATGAGGAAAAAATTGCAAAAGATATATCTGGTAACAGACTTAATTCCAGGTTAAATAGTGAACTCTTGTAATTTAATAATAAGTGAATTATTTTAAAATAGGCAAGAGTTGGACTCTTCACCAGAGAAGATATGTGAATGGCCAATAAACTTGAAAAGGTTCTCAGCATCATTTATCTTTGCGAAAATGCAAAATAAAACTACAATGAGATGCCACTACCCGTCCACTAGAAGAACTAAAATTAAATGAGCTGATAGTAACAAGTGTTGGCTAATATGCATGGAGCAAATGAAACTCTTACATGTTGCTAGACACTTTGGACAACTGTTTAGAAGCTTCTTATAAAGTTAAACATATAGTTACATGTGATCATAGGAACACTCCTAGGAATTTACTCGAAAGACTTGTATTTAAATGTTAACAGCAGTTTTATTCATAATAGCTCCAAAGTGGAAACAACCCCATGGCCATCAGCAAATGGTTGGGCGGTACATACATGCAATGGAGTATTACTCACCAATAAAAAGTAATAAATTACTGATATAAACAACAACATGGATGATCTCAAAAACATTACAGTGATTGGAAGTGGGGGTAGACTGGGCGGAGGGGGCAATGGGGAAGAATGAAACATCTGTAGTAGCATAAACGATTTTAAAAATGACAAGGGATGAAAAAAGACAGGCACAAAAATGTTTATGCCTTGCTGTAAGCTACCAATTATGTGAAAGTCTGGGAAAAAACCCTACTCATTCCAAAAAGCAAGCAGCCATGGCCTGAGGCCAGCAGTGGTGGAAGGGCTGAGTGGGAAGGGACACTCGGGGAATTCCAGCAGAGGCAGAAATGTTTGTGTTTTATCTGTAGGGGCGGCGACATGAGTGTATCAATTTATCAAAGCTCATTGAAGTGTACACTTAAAAGGGCTGCATTTTATTATATATAAAACCAGGTTTTTGTCTTGGAAAGTCAGATGGACGGTGCGCCGTTTACAGATGTAGGAAACAAAAGCGAATTTGGAGTGAGGAGCGTTATTTGGGAAACGTTGAATGTGCGATGTTCTTTGTGTGGACCTGTTTTCAGTGCTCTTGGGTGAGTCCTTGGGAGTGGAATTGCTGGGTCACGGTGACGCCATCTTTAACCTTCTGAGGAACGCCAGGTTACTTAAAGCACCTGCACCATTTTACATACCCACCAGCAAAGAATGAGGTTCCACTCTCCACATCCTCCCCACCTTTGTTACTGTCCTTCTGTTCAATTACAGCCATGCGAGTGGGTTGTGGTGGTGTTTTTATAACGCAGCGGTTAAAACAATACTGTGGGCAAACATGACCTCTCATCAGCCAGAGGTCCAATCAACCACAGGCCGTGAGCAGGGCAAGACTAACACGCCCTATCCCGCTGGGGTGGCCTGCCTGACAGTTAGGGGCAGCGGTTCCCACTGCCCAGGTAAAAGTGCAAAGTCTCAGACGCTACCCCACACCTCCTGAGCCAGAGACTCTAGAGTGAGGCCCAGGTCCCTGCGATTCCAGGATCCTACCCCTCGATGTCAGCTTTAACCACCTTATTAGGGATGATTAATATGCACCAAATCCATCTTCCTGTGCAAATGAGTGAGTGAACAAGGAAAGGGCTTTTTGAAAGTTTCAGCCGTGCAACTCGAGTGGAAGGGTTTGACACTTTCCGATGCTGAGTGACAGTGTTGTGGTAAAATGTTCACAATCATTAATTTTTGGATACACAAAACCCAGCAGGAAGGTAAATAGGCATTTCAAACAAGTACCATCCAAGGCAGTAACACATATTTCCCTCACTTGCTGTCTTAAACATTCCTTGCCCGTTCACAATTTTAAAGAGCATGGTGTAACAGTTCTCCTGTAGTTCCTAAGGAGGAGGATGGCACAGGAGCTTCAACAGATCAATCATTTAAGACAGTAAAGATGGCCTCACCCACACCAAGTGAAACAGACCAGAAATACTCCCATGACATGGGATGTTGATTACCATCTAAAAAAAATGAGGAAAAAATTCTTCGGGGAACTACTCTATTTTTTAAAAAATTTTTATTTATTGATTTTAAAGCAAGAGAAGAAAGATAGAGAGGGAGAGATATCAATTTGTTTTTCCATTTACTTATGCATTCATTGGTTGAGTCTAGTTTGTGTCCTGACTGGAGATTGAACCCACAACCTTGGTGTATCAGAGCCAGTGTTCTAACCAACTGAACTACCTGGCCAGGGCTATGTTTCTTTCCTATATTGCCATTTAAAAATCTTCTCTACCTTTCTTACAAACTTACAAACTCAATTATTTAGGATAGGAGAAGCCTCTTTGTAGCTACACTTTTGTTACTTCCTTCAGATACATGTTAGATTTGCTGCTTCTCTGCCTCTTCACCTGGGAGGGATTGGCATTATAAGTAAAGCCAGGCTTAAACCTGGTTTGCTCTTGCTTAGCAACTTCCGCCCAGGTGGCCAGGAGAGGCAGGACTCTCACGTGTGCGTGCGGATGCAGCGGAAGAGCCACATGGCTTAACAGCAACAAGCTCACTGTCGGAGCAGAACTGCTGTAACTATTCCACTTGTTCCGTTAAGTCCCTTCCCTGACTGCACTAGTTTTTATAGCATTTCTCTTGTCTGAGACATCACGGTGTCTCTGAGTGAATTCAAAACCTTCTGGTAAGTGTCCAGAATATCCTGAGCGGTGGGTCTCTCTGCAGGCGTCTGGCTCTTGCAGGCCTTATGAATATCAAAGAGGTGGAATCGAACCATATCACTTCCCTCGACATGCCCCAAAAGGAAACTGGAGACATCTGGAATCTTCCAGATGTCAGTCTTCTCGTCATACGAGGGCATGAGACGGTCGTGAAAAGGCGTGTCCTCTCCATAGGGCCACAGCTGCTCTGGAGCCACGAAGTCCCCGTGCAGCTCCCTGTGGCCACACTTCACCAGCGTCCCCGCGCTGCGGTTCACCAGGGGCAAGGCGTCCAGGTCATTCACCACGATGCTGAAGTTACTGGTCAGCAGGTACTGGGAGAGCGTCTTGGGCAGGTCGTTGGAGTCGCACATGACCAGCGTGCCCAGGGGGCTGCGGTGCAGGTAGTTGAGGATGCCGACGTAATCCATGGCCAGCTGCAGCCTCTGCTGCCAGGTGTTTAGGTGCTGGTACTTGGAAAGGTTTAACGTTTCTTCCAGGCGGCTCAAGGACCCTAAGGGGTGGTACTCAGTCAGAATGGTGTTGTCATCTTCACAGAAGCCGAGCAGCGTGACAACATATTTACTCTGCAGAGATTTCAGCATCTGCAGTCCATGGAGGAAATCGTCTTTCATCTCCAGACTGGTGAGCCGGGAGAGAGCGACCTTGCGTTCCTTCCACTCCGACAGAAAGACCTGAAACAGAGCCAAAGAACATCACCTGTCTTAGGGAGTCAGGAAACAACACCTCTTTAAAGGGCTGGATCTGGTGCAGAGCATACAGAAATTAATGAGGATAGACCCAGCCCTAGGGTTGCTCTTAATCTAGTTAGAAAGATTCACTTATGAGCAAACACAAGATTCCCAGTGAGGCAAGTGCCGCATCAGCAAGCAAAGGCCCAGCGAGGGAGGAGGCCGGAGGGGCCGACTCTGGTCAGGACGCTGCAGGCCATCAGGAGAGGGTGCCAGCAGGCTCCCGGGAATTGCTCTAAGGGATGATCAGGGCTTGCAGGCTGATGCAGAGCGTGGGAAGCACATTCCCAAGAGAAGGGACTGAACATGTAAAGGCACTGAGTGGCAAACAGACTGCCAGTTCCCAGATACTGCAGCACAAAGAGGGAGAGGGTGGGGGAGGAGGAAAGACTGGAAAATCCTATGAAGGGGGCTGAGCCCTGCCAGCCCATCACACATAAGATCACTCATTAATTTTAAGAGGTAGCCTAGTAAACCACAAATAGGAATAGTTCTACGTAAAGTAAACATTTTAACACGCTCTGTGGGTTTGTGTGACTTCAGCTGTGAAAGCAGGAGGCGAAACACCACGAATGCCAGACCAGCCCATCCTGGTACACAGTGTCCAGGACACGGTACAGCACTGCCTTGGATTCTCAGTTGTTATTAGCTCCAAAGGCTGGCAGGAAGCACTGTAATTAAGAACCTCTGATCTTCTGCTTAAATCCCGGAAGGAAAAGCAGAAAACAGGCTCCCAGGTCAGGTCACTGCTCCAAGCTTCTGCCACCAGCAGGCTGTGTCTCTCTGGGCTTCTGTCTCTTCATTGTTCAAGGAAAACAGCAATCCGGGGCATTATTTATCAAGAGCTTTTAGCATCTAAGTCTATAACCTATCTATCTAAAAAGCTCTAGGAGCCCTGACTGGTGTGGTTCAGCGGGTTGGGCGGCGTCCTGCAAACCGAAAGATTGCTGCAGGGGTTGCTCAATTAGGGCCTACAGGGAGGAGAGTGGGGTCTGCCAGGAGCCAGAACCTGCATGGGCACAGAGGTTGCAACGTGGGCAAGACATGCAGGCTCCTGGCCCTCGCACACTAACGCCAGTGCTCAAGGCGCTTCTGCCCTGAGAGCAAGTTTTGGCCACAGACACACACAAAATATATGTAATGGCTTTTTAGTCACACTTTAATGAATAAAACTACATTCCTCAGAGTTAGTACCCATGTTATTAAGTCCCATATTAGGATGGGTATGATTTGTACAAGTTCCCTAAAATCAGGTCTGTCCTCATACAACAATGATTTGCCACCATCAAAGCTACTCAAAAACATATCCTTCAAGGTAAAAATCAATTCCAAAAACTAAGTTCAAAAATGGTCCAAGTGATTCCAATAACACATAAGCAAGTTACCAGTAACCCCTCTGAAGGGGGACAGAAATTAACTGCTGAGTCCCCTTCTCTACGTGCATCCCTTCATGGTGATTCTTCGCATCCTCACGCTTTCAACGCCATCCCAAATTTATCCTCCCCACCCAAGACCTCGCCCCAAATGCCGGACTTGTACATCCAACCACCTGTGTCACATGTCCATGGGGGCATCTAAATGGCCTTACTGTGTCCACCTCACACACACAAAACCCGTTCCTTCTCATCTCTGAATTGGATAATGACGACCCTATTGTTCCTGCTACTCAGGCCAGGAACCCTGTGGTCACCCTCTCTCCCTTTTACCCCACATCCCATCTACTAGGAAATCCTATTGGCTCTACCTTTAAAATATGACCGAATCCAGTGTGTTCTCACCACCTCCGCTGCTAACACCCTTGCTGGGCTGTGCTCACCTCTCGCCTGCAAGGCCTAACCCACCTTCCACTCCGCACGCCTCAGTCTCCTCTCCACACCGACGGCCCACCTCACTCCTGCGCTCAGACTGCTCCAGTGGTTCCCTGGGTCCTGCCAGGCCCAGCAGGACCAGGCACCACGGGTCCTTCTGGACTCTGTGTGCCACCTCTCCTCCTCATCCCACCCTTTGGGCACACTGGCTCCTTCCTGGTCCCCAGACAACAAAGCAAATTCATCTTGGAGCCTCTGCTGGTCCCTGTCTTTCCTACTGGAACATCTTTCGTCAGCTATGCACACAGCTCGCTCTCAGATGGTTCTGGCCACCTAGAGCAACAAGTCTGTCACTTGCCCTGCTTTGTCTTCACAGCACATGTCACAGACATGTTTCATTACATACTGTTTCTTATTGTCTTAATTGTCTGACTCCAGGGCCTTTGTTTCATTCACTGTCACACCCCTAACACACAACAACGAATGAATGAATCTTTAAAGGAACCAGTTACCTTGTTTATGGTTTTACTTTATATAAATGCCTGTCCCTTCTCCCAGTCTGACTTCTTCCTTTAAGATGCCTCCTTCCTGCATTCACGGCAGCAGCAGCCATGGCTCCCAGTCTCCCAAAATAGGGACCAGCACTTCATCACGCTGCAGGCCCGTGGGTGCATTTTCTGCTCCCTCCTTCTCTTTGATCAATCATTCAATGAAGCCTCCCAAAGGAATTGTCTCTGTTCAACAATCCTGAACTGGCTTCTAGAGTCACTCTTTGCTTTATCACTAAGCCTCAGCTACCATAGAAATGATGACCACTGAGTTATACCACACATTCCTAGCTGGTAAGACGAGGGCTCTTGAAGTTTCTGTTTGAGAAGTGAATTCACCCCTTTGTTATCTCTTATTAAAATTAAAAACTTAAAAATCAATATACTATCACAGGGTTTAAATAGTAAGAGTAAAAACGTTGCCCATAACCCTTCTTCACTACAGCATAATTTCTATCATTTTAATATTTTTCTACATAAATACATAATTTTGCAGTTGAAAACAGTATATTCAACAATTTCATATTTTGCTTTTTTTTTCACTTATCATCGTAAAATTTTTTCATATGGCTGCCCAGGTTCCTAACTACACTTAACGGTTACAGAATATTCTAGCAAGTGGCTGGACCATAATTTAATTAACCACCCCCTTATAGTTATTATTTCTAATTTGCTATTACTATGAAAAACAAGGTACTCCTTTAAGCATTTAGCTTTTTTCTTCCCACTGGATTATTTTATTTGCTAAAGTTCCAGATGTGACATTGCTGGGCACAAGGGTAGAAACGCGTCAATGGCTTTTAACACCTCATGCCAAGTTGCGTTCCCAAAGGGCCACCCCGTGAACACTGCGATGGCAGCTCGGCCGTTACCCAGGAACTCACCCTCTTCACGGCTCCTTCCCCAACACGCTTCAGCTGCCTCACTTCTGTCCTCAGCTCCTGGCAGGACAGCCACGGCGAGCAGTTTTTCATCTGTCCCATTCTGAAGGACCCGTAGGGACAGTGACTGGGCTCCAGGGCGGCACGTCGAGGGGAAATGAAAAGCCAGTCGAGGCAGAGGTAGAGGAGCGCGTTCACGACGGCCAGGGCCAGCAGCAGCCCCACAGCTGGGGGCGCCTCTCTGTGCGGGGGGCCTGTTCTACCGTCCTGGGGCTTCTTTTCCATGTTGTTAGCCTCTGCAATTTCCTAAAATAGAAAATGAAACAAGTAATAACAGCCGTTTTTCATTTCCATTAAGGTGTTTTGACGAGGAGGGGCTGAAGGTGACACACCCTCTATGCCTCTTACTGTCCAGGATCCTGTACTTCGGAGCCATTGCAGGGATGAAGGAAGGCACCGAACACCAGGCTCACACTAAGGCTCAAGGTCGGCGGCTCTCATCCTCGGTATTTTTTTATTGCAAACCATAGTCTGGGATCATCTATTTTAGGTTCCATTAGAAGGGAGGTGCTAGCGTGTCTGATTTTGTCTTTGACTCTCCCCCAGCGCTTGCACCGGGTCCGTATTCCATGAAGGGCTAGCAAAATGAAAGCAAAGGGTGGACGCTAGTCCAGTGGGGCTGGGGCAGAAGATGGACAAAGGAGAGCAGCAGATTAGCTGGGGTGCTGCCGGCGGGGGGGGGGTTGGAATGCTCTCGAACCCGCCTAAGGAACTGGGATGTTCCTTAAGCAGCAAAAGCTACTCCAGCAGGGGTGGAAGGCCCTGGCTATGAGCCGGGAGAAGGGCTGGCGGGTGTGTGAGCTAAAATGATGGCGGTGAGAGTGGGGAGAGGGTGATGCGGGGACGGACCTCACGCCAGGTCACCACGGAAGGCGTGGTGACACGCGAACGGACGCTGGCTCGAGCACTGGAGCGGGCGTGCGGGCTGCGGTGAGGGCTGGCGGGCGTTACAGCTGCAGCTGCCGGATGGCGGAGGGGCCGGGAGCGGAGAGCGCTGGGGTAGGACCCTGGACATCGGGTGCTTGACACACAGGGGGCTTGAGGCAGAGGCCATTTATGAACCAGGATGGAACTGTGCCAGTACTTCAACACGGGACATGGCCACAGCAGTGTGTGCCAGCTGAACATAAGCACGGGGATGCATGGCGGGCGGCAGTGACAGGGCTGACCCTGCACGTCACGGTCCCAGACGCCTGGGACGCGAAGCGTTACCTCCCAGGTACGGCGTCCTTCTGCCAGTTCAGGTCTCCATCCAGACACCTGGGTCGGTCCGCGGTCTGGCTGGCCCCGGGTGCCGGTTAGAAAGGGCTCTGCCGCAAAGTGCCAAAAAGGTCCGTTGAGTAAAGATTGAAAAATTACACAGACAAGCGGCAGTAGTATGACGGTTCATCCTCCCCAGGGGCCCTCCCTGTCTGGGTGTCGCTCCAGCTCGATTCCCAGGAGGTCCTCCTGCAGCCCGGCTGCTGTCGCGAAGCCCTGTCAGCTTGTCTGCGGATGATACTGAACATCTATGTGACCTTGCAGTCTCCCAGGAAACCAGTCCCTGGGGTCCCTTTGCAATCCAGACCAGATCTTGACCTCTTTACAGACAGTCCTGCTTGCCTTTGAGCCCATGAAAATAAAGCCTCATTCCAATTTTGCCTCAATGCCACCTGTCCCCCGAATTCTGTAATAACTCTCTTTCCCTCTGATTGAGATGCCAGGTTCCAACGCTGTGCAGGCTCCCTCAGTGCCATGGGACAATAAAACGGACAGGTTCCTTCCTGTGGCCCGGCCCGGGCCGCCCTCTCTTCAAACTGTGTCACCTCCACCCCCATCTTCTCTCTCAGCTGATGGTCTTGTGTCCTATATTTCTGAAAACAACAAAAGCAATCCGAGAGCACTGCCATGAGCCCCCACGCCACACTGCAGGCCCCAGCTCCCTCTGCCTTCTTTTCCGTGCCTCTGAACAAACAGGCCGCCCCCCCCCTCGCCCGCTCTTGGGCGCTGCCCCAGCAGGACTCCCCTCTTCTCCTGCACCACGACCTGTGCGCCCTAACTCCCCCATCATTTCAAACACCCTCCCTTTACCCTACTTCCCCTCCACTTATTGCCTTATTTCCCTCTTTCTTTTTTGCAAATTCCTTTAAAAACTATCTATCCTCACTACATCCATCTCTGTCCTCTGTTTCTCTTGAAATCACTGCTACTCCACCCACATTGACCCTATCAAGGTGACCTCCACAATGGTAAACCCAACAGTCAATTCACAGTCCTGGCCTTGACCCCTCAGCAGCATCTGGCAGGGCTGATCACTCCCTTCTCCTTCAAACGCTTTCTTCACTCGGTGCCTGGTGCCCGGGAAGCTTCGCCCTGTGGCTCCTCCAGCCTCTGGCTGTAATTGCTGGAGTGCCCCGGGGCTCAGACTTGACCCGTTCACTCTCTCCCTGGGTGATCCGTCTAGATCGTGACTCTCCCACCTCCGCCTGCTGACAGCTCCCAAATGTCCGGCCTTCTCGACCTCTAGACTTGCTTCCTTGATACCTCTATTTAGATATCTGAAAGACCACTAAAAAATATTTATTTTCAACAAAAAAACACAATAACAATTTTAAAATGAGCCAAGAACTTGAAAAGACATTTCTCCAGAGAAGATGTACAGATGGCCAATAGGTACGAGAAAAGGTGCTCAACTCTATTAGTCATCAGGGAAATGCAAATCTCACCGCATATCCACTAAAATGGCTGTAAACAAAAAGTCAGACAATAACAAGTGTTGACAAGGATGTGGAGAAACAGGAACCCCCATGCACTGCTGGTGGGAATGTAAAATGGTACAGCCACTATGGAAAACAGTCTGGCAGGTCCTTAAAAGGTTAAACAAGAAGTTACCATATAAACCAGTCAATCCACTGCTCGGTATATACCCGAGAAAACATACATTCATATAAACATTTGTAGATGAATGCTCACAGCAGTGTTATTCATAATAGTCAAAGACTGAAAATAACCCAAATGTCCACACACAAACAACCACTTATGATCTGATTCCATTTATATGAAGTGTCCAGAACAGGCAAATCCATAGAGACAGAAAGTAGATTAGTGGTTGCCAGGGCCTGGGTGAAACAGAACATGGGGAGCGGCTGCTACTGGACACAGGATTCCTTTTTGGATGAAATTTGTTCAAGAATCTATAGTAATGGTTGTAAGTATATTCAAAACCACCCATTGTACACTTTAAAATAGCAAATTTTACGGTATGTGACTATCTCAACTTTAAAAGCTAAAAGTACTTTCCAAACTCAGCGCCTGCTCTTTCCCTCCCAAATCGCTGTGTTCACAGTGTTGGCAGTCTCCGTAAATGGCCGCTCCATTCTTCCAGTTAGCCAGGCCAGCGAAGCTACAGGCCAAGGGTGAGCAGTGACATTGCTCCTCCCTAAGCGGGAAATTTTAGAGATAATGGACTCTCCCACAATTCCATGTGCTTTTCCTAATTACGTAAAGGAAGAGCTGCTTTGCTTATCCCCGCTGTCATTCAGAGGTGCCCGGTAAACCCTGGCTCCATTGAACTGCTCCAGCATCACCCAACAGCCTCCTTTTCTTGAAACGATGCCGTCTGCTCCCCCCACCACCTTGGTCTTTCCAGCTCTGCCAAGCAACCAGCAACGTTCTGACGGCTGCTTGCTCCCCTTCCTCACAGACTCCGGGCCCGCATCCTTCCCTCTGACCCGTTCTGTCATCTGCAAGAACTTCAGCTGAAACTATGATGATTTTTACCACTCAGCCTTCAGTCTCTTGAGCTTCCTCCACCAGTCCTGATCCTTAGAAGGTGCGCTTAAAGAAATGGGTAAAACAATCGCCGTATCTCTTCTACAACAGTTAAAGTTGACCAGGTGTGTCTCACTTAGACGTTAGGTCAGGGACCAGCACACTTTTTCTGTAAAGGTCCAGGTGGCAAATATTTAGGTTTAGGGGCAAGAAGGTGAAATTAAGATAACCACATCACTGTGACTTGAGGTACACTGAGCAGCAGTGCAAAGGGACGAGGGCCCACATATTGTCTCTGTCACAGTTACTCATCTCTGTCGCCAGAATGCAAGAGCAGCCCCAAACACTACATAAACAAATGTGTGCGCCTGTATTATAATAAAACTTTATTTATGGACACTGAAATTTGAATTTCATATAGTTTTCATGTATCACAAAAGATTATTCTTTTGATTTCTCCTCCAATATTTTTTAAAGATTTTATTTATTTATTTTTAGACAGAGCTGAAGGGAGGGAGAGAGGGAGAGAGGAAGAGAAACATCAGTGTGCAGTTGCCTCTCGCACTCAACCTGGCCTGGAACCCAGGCATGTGCCCCGTTTGGGAATCCAACCTGCTACCCTTTGGTTCGCAGGCTGGCATTCAATGCACTGAGCCACACCAGCCAGGGCCAATATTTTAAAAGGTTAAAAAAAAAAAAAAAGCATCCTTAACTCACAGGCTCTACAAAACCAGTGGGTGGGCAGTAGTTGACCACACCCCGCCATAGGCAATGCTCTCCTCTGGGTCTGTTGCAGGCCCTATTTCCACACTATGCATTCCCTCTAGGTAATCTCATTACTGAACATGGCTTTCACAGCCCTGTAGATACCAATTTCCAAGTCTCTACTGCGGCCCAGATCTTTCTCCTATGCTTCACTCAGCGGGCTCTTCGAGGTCTCAGCTGCGTCTCTCCTATCCCCAACATGCCCTTTCTCCAGGGTTCCTTCTCTGTGACAGGCCCACCACACACCCACTCCCTCATGTCACAAACCAGGTGACTTGATCCCACCCTTCCCTACCTTCTAAACCAACCAGTCACTACATATAGTCACTTCTATCACCCAAGTGTCTCTCAGATCTGTTCCCTTCTCCCCTTGCTTGCTCCCCACCCTGGTCTAAGCCACCAGGGTCTCTTACCTGGGCTTCTCCAACAGTTTTCTACACCATCTCCCACTTTCCCTTTTCCAATCCATTCTCCACACAGTAAATAGGATCTTTTTTTTCTTTTCTGAAATGTTTCAAACAGAGAAAACTAAAAAATAAAACATCCATTCAGCTTTGTCAGGTAACTCTGCATGGTATTTTTAAAAGATCTTTTTTAAAGATTGAAAATGTTACAAACATAGTTGCAGCCCCCGTGGGCCCCTCCCAATCCTCCCTCGGGGAAGTAATCACCATCCGCAAGTTGGCGTCAGTTCTCTAACTGTGGTCCCAGGACCTACAGCAGTTGCACCACCTGGGAACTTGCAAAAAATGCAAGTTCTCAGTCCTCCCTCCAGACCCAGTGAATCAGACATTCTGAGGTGGGGCCTAGAAATCTGTTTTGACAAGTTCTCCAGGTGATTCAGATGCACATTAACGTTTGAGAATCACTGGTGTATTTAACGCCAGTACATGTGTTTTATTTTCACCACGAGGCCATTTCTTAAGGAAGGCTTTTTAGCCCACCTCAGCACTTGATGGGCTTTTTTCTTTTAAAGGCATATTCCTGGACTAGGCTGTTCACAGCCTGGGATAGAAGGCCGTGTGGCTGAAGGAAGTTTCTTGCCCAGAAATAAGCAAAAAGAAACTAGTTGTGAAAAATACCCAGCAAGTTAAGGAATAACAATTGTGGGGCCAGAAGGGTAGGAGAAATTCAGGCACTGTTTTGAGAAAAAGGATTCCTGACATTGATAGGAAAAAGCTGGTAAACGGGGAAAAGACTGGCAACCCCTACCCTACACTCACAGCTTAATTTTAAAAAAAGAAGAAAAACAATGAAAAAAATAGTTTTTACTAATTTACAAAATATCTTCTACAACCATAGACAAAAGGGATTAGTGCCACTCAATACAATTTAGAGTGGAATCCCATTAAAATAATTGTTTTAAATATTCTGGATGCTGACTTAGTCTTAAGGTCTACAGTAAAGAAAGGAATGGAGAAGCTAGGACTACTTAAAAAAATGGCTAAATAAAAAAGAACAGCAGACTCTTACACCTAGCACAGAAGCTCTAGCATCCAGAGGTGGCTAGCAGTGCTGGCACGAATGATCGCGTGCAGAATAGACGCCGGGGAGAAGGACCTGAAGCCTGTTATTCCATGTCCAGCTCGCGCGCGGAGCAGGACACAGAGGGAGCCAGGAGGGTGGACGCCGGCTGCCCTCGGCCAGCGTGGCCTCCAGCTGGACTCCGGTAGAGCCGCCCAATAGGCACGGCGGGGCTGCCCGGGCTTGGGGTTGGGCGACTCGGGCTGGACCAGGGACAAGCCCCGCAAGAGGCCGAGCTACCTTCCGCACCCGTCCCACAGCACCTGTCTCTCGCCCGCCGCTTCCCCAGCCACTTTCCCCAACAGGGACCCCCCCGCCCCATCCTTGCCCGGAGAGGCCGCGCCTACCTGCGGCCCTCGGCCGGGGCACGCGGCCTCCTGCGCCTGCGCGGCCGGAAACGAGTCCAGGCAGGAGGAGCGAGAGCCTGCCCCCTGGTGTCCGCTGGACCCTTGGAGAGCCGACGCTGCAACGCAGAGGAGTTTGAGCGCCTCCCAGATTCCAGCGCAGGTGCACCGACCAGTCAGTCTCGTAGTCTCCTATTCTGGTTTCTTCTCTACAAGCGTTTGAGGACTGTGATGTGTTGACCTATCACAATTTTAGTTCAGACGCCTAGCCTGGTGTTAGGTACGGTAGAAAGGAACTGTAACATCTAGACCCTTCAAAAACCTTCCCGTCATCAGTGCAAAGCCATGGTTTTCAAAGGGTGGTCCTCAGACCAAACGCTGATGCTTCACATCTCCGGGGAAACTGTTAGACATGCACATTCTCGGCTCCATCCCAGACCTAATGGGTACGGGCCATCAATCTGTGCTTAACCAGGCCTCTGGGCAATGCTGAATGCCCTGAAGGTTGAGAACCGCTGGTGAAAGGGGAGAGGCTTAACCCAGAGCGGGAAAGCTGAGCTTCTCTTGTTCAAGGGCCCCAAAGGAGGAGCACTGGAAAGGCGGATGGAAGCTGGAAGGCTCAACAGGTCTCACCGCTGCTTGTACCTGGTGGAAAATGCTAGAGGAAGGGTTGCGACATTGGAAGCTTGGCATAGGATTATGTAACTTTTTGTTTGTTTAAACCAAAAGTGTTATCTTCCACACTGACACATTTTCCAAGTTTGGAATCAAGAAACTATCATGATGTACGTTTCCAGCACCCAGCCTGTACTGGTAATCCAAACAATGAAAATTTAAAATAACTAGAAGCTACTTGCCTATCAGATTGGCAAGTAGGAAAAAGAATGGTAATGCGTACTGTTGATGGACAAAATCTAAAGGTTTCCCCACACCCATACATGAGTATAAATTTGCATGACCTGTATCAGTTCTACGTGTGTATAACTGGCCCTAGCAAATCCCCTCTCTAGGAATTTACCATGCAGAAATAATTGAATACGCAAGAGATCTCACTGAAGTGTTGTTGATAAAGGACTTTTATAACAGGGGGAAAAAAAGAAACTTAAATGTTTAACAGTAAAGCTTTCTGAAAGAAATTATATCCATGCAACCATTAAAAATGATGTGGTTGATATAATGGGTACAGAGTTTCAGTTTGAGAAGATGAAGATGTTCAAGATAGAGGATGGTGATAGTTGTATAACAGTGTAAATGGACATGATGCCACTTAAACATGGTTAAAATGGGCAACTTATTATGTATATTTTACAATAAAAAATGCTATAAATCTATATGTATTGACATGAAAGGATATTTATAACATACAGTTAAGGGTGGGGAAGAAATCCTACTTTAAAAACAACTACACAAAAATTCTATTAATTTTGTTCTATATAGCTACTATATATAAAATTCTATCAATTAATTTTATTAATTCTGTATAACCACTATATATAAAATTCAATTTTATTGGTAATAACCACAATATATGGAACAGAATTTTGGGCAAATTAAATTTTCTTTTTGTATGTATTTTTTAATGTTTATGTAATTAACATGTATTACTTCATATGTGTGTACGTATATGAAAGGTGGCCTGATATCAATATGTGATATACATTAGAGGGAGGATCCTGAAACAAGCCCATTAAATAATAATTTTTTAAAAGAATGTAGAAGGAAATGAGTGAGACATGAGAAACTTTGAACAGAAAAATAATCAAGAATTAATTGACAAGACAGGAAATGAAAGAAATGATAAAGTGCAGTCAGTTCTGCTATAACACATTTTTATAAAGCAAATTTGTTGCAGTAAGATTGATACATTGAGAAATCATTTGAGCAATGCACAGATTTCCCATTTGTTCATGTGTGATTTCATCCTGAAGAAACACTAGGTGAATGAGTACAGAAAAATGCACAAGCTGAGGATCAAAACATACATGCACACCCTTCAGCATCGACCAGTATCTTCATTTCACTGCGTGTGTTTGAGCCACACTCATCCACATCTGCTTTTGCAGCCGTCAGATCGATTTTGGAAAACCCTCCGTCAGTTCACAGTACCTCACAAGCTGTAACACTTGCCCCCAGTCGCACCTCCACAGGCAAGCGTCAGCTGTTTTCCAAGGTAAACAGCCATAGTGTGTATAACTGCGCTGCTGTTATAAGTTCTTTTCTTTTTTAAGTTGATAAGTTTTTGAGCGTTGTGTCTCTAACCCCATTTTTACCATAAGCCCCTGGTTTTTCTTGGTGATTTTGCATAGCATGGTGACAGCATCACGTTCTAGCAGAAGTGACTGAACATGGTTTTAGGGGGGTTTCAGCTGGAACCACAGTAGCAGATAGAGTAGGGAGAAGACATTTTACATTTGAAATGGAGCAGCAGTCCAAGTTAATATCCAGCAGGACTTTACATCTCTGGTGAGTGGAGGGTAAGAAGGATTCCCCGTATATAGGAATCGTCTCTCTCAAAGTATCCTGTGATGCTCTGGAAGAGGATGTTCTTTCTAAGAGAGAACATACAGAGAAGAGAGCCAAATCTGAGCTCTCGGAGACTGTAATGCAGGACTGTGGGAATTCTTGTAAAGAACAGAGCATCTGTGAAAGCTAGTAAGGGAGAGAGTCCAAAAAGGACAAGAGGGCTCATTCCTACTAAGACAGAGCTAACACACCCAAACCTTTCCTTCCCGCTGAACGCAAACAGAAAACCTGATCAGCTCTCGTTGCACAGTTGTCTGGGGTCTCTGAAAAGTGAATGTCACCAGATCAAACAACACCAGACTTTCAAGCACCACTGACTGGTCATGATGTTTCTGTTTTTCCTCTGGTCTGAACTCAACACAGCCCAAAACCTGGAAGTAAGCACAGGGCGGGGGGAGGGCCGGGGGACAGGGCCGGGAGGCAGAAAGACACCCTGGAGGAGGCTTCTGGTTCTGGCTTATAAAGCAGGAAGGGCAACTCCTAAAATTTGAAGAGGTTGGAGAAAATTACCCTGTTTTTTCCCTTTCCTTTTACTTAATTCCCTTGCACCCCAACTTCCAATAAACCTGTGCCAGGAGCAGTGGCATGAGCAAAAATGGCTGGGAATAGAAAAGTAGGAGCCAAAACCGGGAGCGAGTCAGCTTCCTTTCCATTCAGTGGAGCCATGACTCCAGGAGGGCAGGGACGAAATCCGTTGCTTTTTCTTTTTTCTGTTGCTGGGGTACAACTGTGGAAATGGGCAGTTTCTCACCTGAAGTGGGAGGTTTCTGGCCAAAGGACTAACATGAGGAACACCAGGCAACTGGAAGGTACTTGGAAGAAAGTGGAAAGGGAGATCAGGAAAGCAACTCCATAAAGTTGTGTATGAACTCGTGGGCTCACCCCTGGCCATGATACATCTGATGCTAACTGGCATACCAGACTTTTCGAATGGTGCTAATGGAGAGATTTCTACTCAGGTCCCAGACTAAATACTGGGTGATGCCCATGTGAGACAAATCCAAAGTGCACTACAAGAATTTGAAAACCACACTGACTTTGGAACATAGCACAGAAGGAGGTTTGGAACTTTCAGCCTCCACCTAGACATGGCAAACACTTGCTAAAATAAAAACATTGACATTCTCCATAAGATTTAAACAGGAATCAGAATCTCATAATATTCCAAATTCCTAGGATATATCTAAAAATTACTAGGTATATGAAGTATCTCCAAAATCTCAACTTGAATAGGAAAAGACCATTGGCACCACCAGCAAGATGATGCAGATGTTGGGGTTATCTGACAAGGATGTTAAAAGTTATTATAAAAAATGCCCAAAACAATCTTGAACACTCTAGAAACAAAAGTTAAAAAATACAAAGTATCAGTGAAAAAATAGAAGATATTTAGAAGGATCAAACATTTTAAAACCATGAAATAAAATAACCAAAACAAAAAACTCACTGGGCAGATCCAGCAAGAGTGGAGATGACAGAGGGCAGTCAGAGAACTTGAAGACGAGATGAATAGAAATGAGCCAATCTGACCAACAGAGAGAAAAAAATAGGAAAAAAAAATGAATCGAGCCTCCATAACATTTGGGACAAGAACAAGGGGTCTAACATTCTATCATCAGAGTCCCACAGGAAAAGAGAAAGTGCTAGAAAAAAATATTTGATGAAGTTTGGTGAAAACGCAAAGCTACAGATTCAAGCTGAGCAAACAGGATAAATCCAAAGATACCCATTCCCAGACACGTCAAAATCAAATTCATAAAAACTAAAGACAAACTAAAATTTTGAAAGTAGCCAAAGAAAAATGATGCCTAACCTATCGATGAATAAACATTCTAAGGACAGGTTTCTCATTGGAAACCATAAAGGCTGAAGGAAGTGGAAAAACTTTTTCAAGAAAAAATTTATAAACCCAGAACTCTATGTCCGGAAAAATATCCTTCACGAATGAAGGTGAAATAAAGCCTTTCTCAGATGAAGGAAAACTAAAAGAATTTGCAACCAGCGGACATACTCTAAAAGAATTGCTGAAATTTCTTCAGATAAAAGGGAAATATCAGAAGGAAACTTGGAAAATCAGGAATTAAAGAATAGCAGAACTGGCAAGTATCTATGTAAATATCAAAGACTAATCTTCTTGAGTTCTTTAAAAAAAAAAAATGTTTGGCCCTGGCTAGGTGGCTCAGTTGGTTGGAGCATCATCCTGTACACCAAAAGATTGTTAGGTTTGATTTCTGGCCAGGGCACAGACTTAGGTTGCAGGTTTGATCCCTGGTCAGGGTTTGTACAGGAGGCAACCAATCAATGTTTCTCTCTCACATTTATATTTCTCTCTCTCCTTAAAATCAATAAACATATCCTCAGGTGAGGATTAAAAAAAATGTTTGATGGTTGAATGCAAAAAGCATAAAATTGTCTGATGGATTTTCAATGTAAGTACCAGATGCATGATATACCAGATGGGTCACTTGAAAGATACTGGTTTGCGGAGTTATGCAAATCTCCCCCAATTGTTGACATACTTAATTATAC